GGACGACAACTAAAATCCAGTTTATATTTCATTAAAATCGATCCTCACGAATAAATGAATTTGATAAATGAATGAATTTTATAAATGAATGGTTTTTGCTGCCGAATTACTAGAATACAATATTTCAAGGCAGATGACGCATCTATTCGATAATTTTTATTCGAATAGTTTTCGACGAGTGTTTTCTTACTAGCTATCGAATTATTCGAATGAATTGCAACTATCGAATCTTTCGATAGTATTCATTCGATAGTTCCCACTACTAGTCTAAACGATTTTTCGTCCAACCTATCGTATGATCAGTTGTTCAACCGATTGTATCGTCTGTGGGCCTCTTTAGAAAAAATCGTCTGATTTAAATCGTCATTTAAATGAAATTTGGTATGCCGATAGATTGCACCAACTTGACCTTGTACGACACGTGTCACTATGACATATAGTGCGCACATAGTGCACACATAAATTTTTTTAACATTTAAGAGTTAAGAATACTACTAAAATATGCTTTCGGGAAGCCTCAAAATATCTAGAGCAGACTGTGTTCCTTAAAGAGGAATATTTAATATGTCATGCTAGAAATATTCTCTAGGGTTTACAATACTTTTAATAAGCTTGTGCTCAAAACACCGTATGATTGCGAACCCAACTATGCAGACTATAAATTTTGTAATTATATTTCGGCACACACAACTTTACGAGAAAATCCTGCATAAATAATAGCCAACCAGTGTTCATTTTTAATATTATTATATAAGTTTTATAAAATATATAGAGCAGAAAGGACATAAAACCACCCAACGAAAAATCTTCTTCTAACAGAACTGTTTTTTAAACTCTTATTTAAAAAAATCCTACTATACAGTGTTCAAAAAATGGACAGCCAAATTTCAGAGGGGAAAAATATATTATCAACAAATAACATCAAACATCAATTTAGGTTTTCATTTTAATAGATGGTTATTATGACTTGATTAACGCCATATTTTTGCTGTTTTGATATATTAAAAAAGGCACAAAATTTGTTTGGTTCAGTACTAGGGAAAATGTGATTATAAACGTTGTGCTTCCTTATCTAAAATAGGACAAAATAGCAATGACGCTAATCATAATTAATACTAACAATCTCCTAGAATATAAAAAAACTTGGGAACTGAGAACGAAAAAATCAACTATATTTTCATATTATTGTATTTTGTCTCTAAAACGACATGAAAATATAGAAAACTATAAACAGAAAGATATAGGGGGAGAACAGTGGGATCAGTGCCTCACATGGGAATCATGAGTGCACTTATATGTGCCAGATATGACGTATGATATTCTACTTAATTTTCTCTTTTTAATAAATATTTGGATACTTTTTTAACAACGTTTTATTTATCTTTTTAAAATAAACACTAATTTTATCTTTTTTTCATAGCAACTGTTAAAATTGCCTTATATCTATCAAAAATAGTAGATAAAAAAGTACTTTAACCGCAAGGGTAGATTAAATGATATTTTAACAGCGTGGATAGGTTAAAAACTTTAATTCTTCTCGCACGTTTTTAATTGCTTCCATTTTTGAAAATTGTTGTATTCCTTTCCATAAGTTATTCGGGATTTAAATGGAAGTAGTTTGGATGTGGCGTTGGTCGCCTCAGCCTGAATATCTGTTGGTAACTTACTTATTTCGTTTTGAGCCATTTCTGGCTCCAATTCAATTAGCAATCGACACGAAAGAGAATTAAAAAATATTCACTCAAAACTGGCAACTAAAGAGACAGCTTTATTTATTTGTCAAATTACATCGAAACAAACGCCAACCCAACACAATATTTTTTCTACTCGTAATAAATTCCTTGAAATAATAATTTCTGAATATTTTTTAAAACGTAACTCGGTATGGAAAAAAATATTGTTTTATACACGACGATAAAATTGCATTATCGTCTCCCGAAATTAATTCACTCGCGATTTCATCGCTCGTGAGTTATTCTTTTCGGTTTGATTTTCGGATAAAATACCATTTGATCGTCTTGTATAAAAAATAACAAAGGTGCCCGGTGGCATAGAGGTACAGGCTCTCGTCTACCAATCTCAAGATGTGGGTTCGATTCCCACACCCGGCATTTCATCAGCCGACTATTTTTATTAAAATAAAAATAGTTTGGGTACCTAGGTCGACTCAGCCTTAAATGAGTACTTGGGATTCACAATCCTGAGGTAATAATAGGCGGTTGAAGCGTAGTGCTAGCCACATTACCTTCCTTGTATACCTAACGTCTCTAGTATAGCAAGCTGTACCTTGCTACTCCCAAGGTGTTAAACGCTATATACGGGAGCTATTATTATATTATAAAAAATAACTATTAACAAACACTTCTATTATAAATTGTTGACCCTTAAACTTGTTTGTTTATCCACCGCACAATGATTAGGCTAATTGATCATTATCGTGACCATTGCTTTACTGCGGCATCAAAGGAAAGAATGGTACAGCTCTGGTTAAATTGTTTAAAACCCGTTAAATTCGTTGTTTATCTGTCGGCTACGACATGTAAATTAGTGTGGTAGTAATTATCTCTCGCTTTCATCCGATTACATGTCCTCTCGAACAGAATTATTGGTCTATTTCCTCGATAACGCATATCAAAACAATGCAGAATTTGGATTTTAACCAAAAAAAAATGTTTGTGTTCGATTTACATTAAGGTATTATGTTTTACAGTGACATATACATACATATTTTGATAAAAGATCAATATGCTATGACATGTAATTTTTATCTTGATAATTTAGTCGAATAATTTACAAGAACACTACGAAGAGTCGTTGCTCTCAATAGGGACACAGTGTGCCATAGGACACACAGTGCTTGTGTATTACGTTTAAACTCTGTTTACACATTGCAGTTGTGACTACTGCGTGTATACGTATGTATTTTGCTTCGTATATACATCTTGTTCTAGATAAAACTACTTCTTATGAACGAATTTAGGAAATAATACAAGTTTTGATGCCTAACTTTTCGTTCTTTTTAAGAAATATTTATTCAATGACACCAATTATATCTTTTTAGAACGAAAATTAGAAAGGCAAAACTTTGTATTTTCCAAAAGTATCTCGATCGTAAGTTCAAGAGAAGTAGCCTTAAAATTGTTCCATTTTTGTTTTTTATTAAATGTACCATTTTTTTTTCATAAAATGGATTAAGTGGTTAAAAATAAAATTCTTATATTTCTTTATATCATGGAACGCAATAGCGCAAATAACACAATAATAATAATTATTTACACTGCAGAAACCAACAGTAAGAAAACACTGTAAAAGAACAGAATTTGTATCAAAATGTATTAAAAATATAAGTACCTAGTATAACAACATACTAAAATGGTAAGCACTGGTTTATCGCCACGACTTGGTGGACCTTTTAGTCATTTTTGCTCTTCTTTTCCCTCCAAACAGTTGGTTTGTTAGCATACTCATTCATCGAGATTAACAATCTCAGATTGACAATCTCACCCTTAAATTTTATATGAAACTGATTATTGAATATTAAACATACCTGTATATTGATCCATCAATACCTTACCGAATATCAGTGTAAGAAGTACTTTGAAGTGTTTAAATCTTTCTTTCTCTGGTTCATTTAGATTTTTATTATTTCCAAATTAAAAAAAAATTATATTGCAGAGCTAACGTCTTTATCATTATACGAGAATATTTGGAGTTTTCATTCATTGGAGTCAAAATTTGGTAAATTGGGTATCGAGTAAGGGAAGAGTCGCTGCTATAATATAAATAATTCTCTTAGGAAGGTGTAACAAGGTAATTAAAAACTTGTGCTTACCTTAAAATCTCTTTTAAACTACACACAAACAGAACATTTATATAGAGCTTCCGAATGATAAAACAATAATGGCTGCTAACACATACCGCTCCTAGAAAGGAGAAAGGAGAGAGAACACATAAGATACACTTGGTCGGTGTATCTACGCTGAGGCTATCCGCGCGTGCGCACACCTTCATTTCATGCTAGAATGTAGACACAACAGTACACTATTACAAAGTGTCTATATAGAAATTTATATTATGTGTATACGTCACATTTTTACAAGGTATGTACTATAGGCACAACTATGATACGAAGTATCACACACACATATGACATATACATTGTATGTCTTATATACCGACGTCAGATTTCATCATTTTAATAATTATTTGTTACGTTACAAAAAACTCTTTAGAATCTTGAGTACATACGGTATACAACTAGTAAACACTGTATCACACAATTCTATCAATATAAATCTGCATGTATCTCATATGTATATGTTAGAACTAGATGAACACTTAGGTTCACTTTAACATATTTGGTTTCTCATGTGTCTCCCTTGTAGAAACGTAATTTCATTTGGACGTGCTGTATGGGGACACGCTACCATTAGAGAAAAATTCATCACGTAAATTTGGTGGCAGCGGTGGGATATTAAAAATAGCTGGATTAAATTCTAAGTAAAAAGGTGCTTCGAAAATTTTTTCATAAAAATTCAAAATTGTCCATAGCGAGAAAGTTTTAAAGCAATTTGTTAAAAAAGCACATTTTTAAAAAACACACCGTAACTCCGAAACGGTAACAAATATCGATGTACTTACGGTTTTTGGTTTGGTTTGTTCATCATGTTTTTGATAAAAATTGAGCTCCAGACACTGATATTATTTTTCGTCCTATAGAAAAGGATGTTTCCTTAAAGTATCAATTTGGCCCACCCTGTACACACCCGCAGAGGCAATCCAAGTGAGTGACATACCGATGCGACATCTGAAACAAGGTTTATTGAGCTCTTCCAAATGACGAAATTATTTCTATTGAGCTCTTCCAAATGACGTCACAAATTAATATAAAATGTAAAAAAACAGGTGATTGCCGACAACCGCCGACTTGTATCTGGTATTTTCAATACGCCTATGATGGTTGCGCATGTTGCAAAATCTGTGAATTTTTTTTGTTACAGGCTATGGTAGTATAGCCCCAAGAACATCCTTAGGAAAAGCCGTGACCATGGGTTATGCTATGCTAGGTAACAGAGAAATTAACTTAAATTCAACAGTTTATAATCTGTTTTTGTCTAGGTATTCCACTCACCCTTCTTTATCTGTCCAGTGTCGGTTCTATTTTAAGCAGAGTAGCCAGAGGGGTATTCTCAAGAGCTCTGTGTTGTTGTCTTTGTTCAAATTGTGGGTATTGTTGTTATGACGAAAAACGAATGGCTGAGAAGGAAAGAAGAATGAAAAAGAAGCGGCAACAAGTAAGTTGGATTTTTCAAGTTGTTTCCACAATCTATTTATAAAAAGCGAGGCATTTTAGAATTTAACTTACTCCACATAATTAAAAAATTTTCTGATTTGTGCCTTTTTTTTTAATTTTTGTCATCTGCTTTTAAAAAAAATCTTCTACTTAAATATTTCAAAAAATGTAAAAAGGGGGGGGGCGATTGTTAAAATGAAAATAATTATTTTTTTACTTAATTTTCATTTTGATCAATTTTTTTTATTTGAATCAGCGTCAAAGACAGTTCATCAAAACCCCCGTTTTTAATAAAAACAAAATGAATGATGAATGACCACAGGGATCGGTGTTGGGTCCCACCTAAACACATGGCCAAAATTATTGCATATATCGTTTAAAAATATACGGAAAGGAATTTAAAGAATTTTTTTTATACATATCTTTGATAATCTGCAATAAACATTTTTTTGTTAAAATGGATATGGTAAACAATGTTTATCGTTCAGACCCAATAGTATTACAAATTCTTGCACATTTCGATTTGTGGTCTCTTGGGTTTCAGAAGAAATTTGACCATTGTTTTGGCCTTAAAATGCCTAGGAACATTATTTCATAGTTTAATACAGTCAGAATAGTAACACTGTCTCAACAGGCCTACCAACAAGTTACAATAGCTTGTAGGAAATTGTAGGATTTAAACAAAGCGATATTTCGCTATTATTAAAAAAATTCAGGGAGACAAACGAGGTTACAGACCGGCCTGGAAGAGGTAGAAAGAGAGTTACTACTGCTGTGCAAGACCGTCAAATATCCCTAATTGCACGACGCAATTCCCTGCTTTCTAGTACTGCTATTAAAAATGAGTTAGCTCGCCTTGAAGGAGTAAATGTTTCAAAAAAGATCATAGCAAGAAGACTCCATGACAGAGGATTACATTTAAGGAGGCCTCTATGTGTTCCGAAGCTTAATTTACAGCACAAAATTACGCGACTACAATGGGCTGAGAAGATGAGAGCAAATGGACCTAATTGGAATTTCGTCATGTTCAGTGATCAAACAAGAATAGGCCTAGTGTCAGACTCGCGACGAACTTTGGTCTGGAGAGCATCTGGACGACGAGCACGCTTGAATGCAGCTCAACCCCGTGTCCCGTTTCAAGAGAGAAGCATTATGGTATGGGCAGGTATAATGCACGGAGCTCGAACTCCTCTTGTTTTTATTTATGGCACAATGACAAGTGCCTCATATCTTAGACACGTTTTATTGTGCGTTCTATTGTGCGTCCATTTCTAGGGGCAGTTGGGGATGAATTTGTTTACATGGACCATAATGCTCCTCCCCATCGCACTTTAGCGGTTCGCGAATTTTCCGAGGAAGAGTATATAAGAAAACTGTGGTGGCCACCGATGTCTCCAGATATGAATGTGATCGAGAATGCTTGGGACATGCCAAAACGCCATATTGCCAAAAAGAATGATCTCCCCCGTACCTTAAATGAATTGAAAATTGCTGCGCGCGAAACATGGGAAGCCATTCCTCGACATCTTCTGGACAACTTAAATGAGAGCATGCCACGTCGGTCGTCTCACACCTTGCATTGAGGCTCGAGGAGGCAATACAGACTGTTAGTTGTGAGAAATAATTAAAATTGTTTTCAATATTTTCTGTTTAAAATGAAATTTGTTTTTGTTGATTTTCACTCATTATGAAATAAAATTATAATAACAGCCTAGTCCAGAAATATAAAAAGAATCATATTAGGTCCAAAATAAAATAAAAATATCGCTATATGCATTAATTTTGACCATGTGTGTATATTTTATACGACGGCCTACTTGAATAAAAAATGGTTATTTAAAATCATTATTTCATACGTTTGGCAACGTTTTTACTGTTCTCTCTTTATTCAGTACATTATAAATGCATTGTACTCTTCTTACAAACGGAAATCTCGACCCAAACATAAACCTAGCTAGCAAGTATTTGAGTGTCGATCGGGACTTTGTTATTACTTCATGTACAAATACATACAAGCTTCTTTTATCGTACCTGTATTTCAGATGGAGCTGCAGCAACAGTTAGGCCTGCAAGAGCCCTTCTACGTCCGATCAAACTCTAGCTACAGCAACAACGTTCATTCGCCGTGCAGGGACAGCACAGGAAAAGAAATAGACAGTTTAAGCGGAACCGATAATGAATCGAAAAGTTCCATCCACGGGTGGAGTATCCTGGCCCCTATTCTGTTATGTCTTGTTATGATGTTTATCTACATTTGCCTGGGAACTTTCGTATTATATAAATTGGAGAACTGGTACGTTAATAGCAATTTATAAATCTGAATAGAACCGACTTTAGAAACAGTAAAATATATATTTTTTATTTCATTATTTTATTTGAAAAACTGATAATGATTGTACTTTTAAAATGAACAATTTGTTTTTTTGACTTTGTACTTTGTACAGTGTAAAGCTTCATTCAGAACCTCCCAATTGGTGGAATAAATTAGTGGTTTCAATTACACTTTATACTTTTTAGTTTACGATCATTCGCAATGTCTAAAAAACACAATTAAAATTTATAAAATATCCTAGTAACAGCTTGCGGTAGTCTGTTGTATCCATAAAGAAAGCATAATATTTAGTTTATAAAACAAGTATAAAACAATAAACTTTTGATTTCTAACCAGTTCTAACCAAAATTTTTCTTGATGGGTGATAATCAAAGGCCAAAATGACATTTCTCGCAAATTTTGAAGTACAATTAGTGGAAAAGTCAAAAGTTTGTTAACTTTTTCCACTAATTGAAAATTACTACCACTAATTATAACGTTCTGAATGCTACATTAAAATTAGGTGAACAAACTTCTACGGCTAATTGAAACCTTATAGTACGAGAGCTAGCAACGTCGGGAAAACAAGTATTTTAAGACGTCTGGCTCTTTGATATATCTTTTATTATGCTCTCTGGAACAGCATGCAGCCCGTCTGGCTGCCGATACCCGTTGCGTTCACTACTGCGCATCCAAAGAAGATCCTCTATTTTTTACTTAGCGCTTTAAATTCTAGTATTGAATAAATATCGAGCAAGTCTCCATTAGCTCGACGCGTAGAGCTTTCGCCTATGAAGCGTAGGTCAGTGGTTCGATACCGGCTGGGGGTGCAACTTTTTTATTTTTTTTTCGTTTATATTCTGATAGTAAAGTATTAATTATTAGCTTTTTTATCACCAGAACGGATGGCGCTTATGGGTTTATGATCCGTAGTGTATATAAGTAGAATTTGATACTTTCATTTGTTTTGAAGGATTATTGTGGTAATTAATTATTAGACAGGTTTAGGATGCTCCGGCTGCCGCGTCGGTAGGTTGCGTTCACTACTGCGCATCACATGTGTACAGGGTGTCCCATTTTTGTGCGTTTTTTGGGATTTCTCGTTTATAATTTCATTTTAAAGATTTAAACATAATATATAAAAATTAACATTTTAATGCTTTATGAAGGTAATTTCTGCCTGTCTTTCTTCAAAATATTTTTTTCAGCTGTTGTTTATTATTTTAATAATCATTTTAATAATACTTTTTTTAACAGATTGTTATTTAAAAGCTACACAAGTTTATTTTCAGTTCAGTTTGTTAAGATAACGATGGAAAACAAAATTATCTGCTTAAATTAAATTAAATAAAATAATACTTTTTAAACAAGATTGATTAATGTTAATGTGTAGAAAATGAGCAAATCTAGGGGTAGAATATTTAGTTACATAAAAAACTAGCAAAGAAATGTGAAAAAAAACGCATAATTGTATCTCCACTCATAAACGAGAAATCCCAGATATTCCAAATCCCAAAAAACGCACGAAAATGAGACACCCTGTACCCATGTGATGCGCAGTTGTGAACGCAACCTACCGGCGCAGCAGCCAGACCATCCTAAACCTATCTAATAATTAATTACTACAATAATCCTTCAAAACAAATGAAAGTATCAAATTCTACTTATATACACTACGGATCATAAACCCATAAACGCTATCCGTTCCTGTGATAAAAAAGCAAATATTTAATACTTTACTATCAGAATATAAACGAAAAAAAATAAAAAAGTTGCACCCCAGCCGGTATCGAACCACTGACCTTCGCTTCATAGGCGAAAGCTCTACGTGCTGAGCTAATGGAGACTTTCTCGACTTATATTCAATACTAGAATTTAAACCGCTAAGTAAAAAATAGAGAATCTTCTTTGGATGCGCAGTAGTGAACGCAACGTGTATCGGCAGCCAGACGGCCTGCACGCTGTTCCAGAGAGCATAATAAAAAATATATCAAAGAGCCAGACGTCTTAAAAGACTTTCTCGAAAACGTTGCTAGCTCTTAGACTATTAGATTAAGAATATTGAAACTACTAATTTATTTCACTGATTTCGAGGTTCTGAATGAAGCTTAAGTCAACGATAGAGTAAAGTCCATTATCTTATTAGTTTACAAGTTTACAAAAAAATGTTGAATACAAAAGTTATAGGGAAGGTTAAGATACACATTTTAAAATTATTATACTGTATACAGGGTGCTTCAAAAAAGTGTGGCAAATATAGCATGTTTTTTTAAATGCAACACCCTATTTTTTATCATATTTTTAGATTCTGCGTAAAATTCTATAACTCTTTTGTGTATAATATTGTATACCTAAAATTAATAGTTTTTGTAATATTTTAATTTGTTGCAACAAATGTTAGATTTCAGTGTGGTAAAAAATTGTCAGTGATGACATTGTTTCTGAAGTTGGACAACTAAAATTTGGTAAGAAAAATTTATAATGATGAAGAAAAAGATATATGTAAAGATATTTTAGTTAGATGCTACAGAGTGTTCAAAATATATTTATGAATTTCAACTATTTAAAATTAAAAAATCTCAAATTTTTTAAATGGCACACCCTATATATTATCATTTTTTCTGATAGATTCTACAAAATTCTACAACTTTTATCAGGTATATCATATACCCATTTTTAATAGTTTGCGACTTATTCTGAATTATTAAATTTTTACTCTGTTTTTTTTTTAATTCATTAATGCTAAAACAAAAAAATATGTATTATTAATCATTAACAAGTAGTTTAGTAACTAGTTACACAAATGTCATTATTAGTTTATATTAATTAATTTTACCGAAATAATCTAAAACCACTGAATTTATTGGTGTAAGTATTTCTATATTATGAATAATGACACTTGGGGATTTTTCCTTAGGGCAAATAGCTATAGATTAGTGTAATACTAGATTAGAGACTACTGATATAAGAGTTTTCATCGACATAATTTTTTTCAGGTCTTTACTAGATGGATTTTACTTCTGCTTTATGAGCTTGACGACTATAGGGTTCGGTAATATGGTACCAGGTTCGGATCCCTTTCCAGACTATGACTCGAGCACCACTCTATGGTTCTGTTCAATTTATATAATGTCAGGAATGGCCCTCACTGCCATGTCATTTAATGTTGTTCACGACGAAATTGTACATAGGTAATGCATAATATATATTATTATATTTTTTTCCATAGCAACTGTTAAAATTGCCTTATATTTATCAAAAATAAATTGATAAAATAGTACTTTAACCGCAAGGGTAGATTAAATGATACTTTAACAGCGAGGATAGGTTAAAAACTTTATTTCTTCTCGCACGTTTTTTAATTGCTTCCATTTTTGAAAATTTTTGTATTCGTTTTCATAAGCTATTCGCGATTTAAATGGAAGTAGTTTGGATATGGTGTTTGTCGGCTCAGCCTGAATATCTGTTGGTAATTTACATATTTCGTTTTGAGCCATTTCGACTCCAATTCAATCAGCAATCGACACGAAAGAGAATTAAAAAATATTGACTCAAAACTGACAACTAAAGAGACAGCTTTATTTATTTGTTTTTATCTTTGAATAAGTTTTTATGTACTTATTTTTTCTACTCGTAATAAATTCCTTCAAATAATAATTTCTGAATATTTTTTAAAACGTAACTCGCTATGGAAAAAAATATTGTTTTATACATTTATTATTTATACATTCATTAATTATTTATTATCGTCTTCCGAAATTAATTCTTTTCGGTCGACGATAAAATACCATTTTATCGTCTTGTATAAAAAATAACTATTATTAGGTACTTATTTTGCAGGATATGATTGATTTTAAGCACTGTTTTCGATATTATCTAACGAGTTACCTCAGACACATTGATACGATTTTCTTTAACTTTTTATTACATTAATAATAACTGTAGTATACAGGGTTGTTCACCACATACGACACGGAGTATTGTAGCTAAACGATGAGATCTTTACAAATTGTAAGTTCTGGATTCGATGAAGGACTATTAGAGGTACAATTTAAAAATAATTTTACATGATACAGAGTGTCCCAAATAAGTAAAAAATATCTAAGTTGTATTTTTTTTAAATGGAACACCCTGTATATTATTACATTTTTAGTTTCTACGATTAAAATAAAGGTAAATTTGATTACGTTTATGATACTTAAACCTTACCCTTTTTGAAATATTTTCAATTTTGTGAAATTGCAGTAAAAATTTTAAGGCTTCATTTCTCCAAGGGTATCAAAGTTTTTAATACTAAATATTTACTGAAGTTTATTTATTGATCAGTTATTGTGTTGCAATAATAAAAATAATACTACCTTATACAGAGTGTCTAAAAATTTATTTTAAATAATTTCTAGCTTCAAACGGCAATAACTTGTTTAATTTAAATGGAACGCCCTGTATATTTTAGGAGATCAGATGCACAATTTAATTGTCTATCAAATTGTGTTATACCATTTTTACCTATCCCTTCAAGTTTTCGTAGAAAATGCATTTTCTTATAATTTAGACCTCATTTATCAATAAACCCATGGAATATTGACATTTGAGATTGTTTTTAAAGATGTACCAAATTTTTAAAGAGTACAGATACTAATATTGTCGATATAATTCGTTTATTTCATTAAAAATTAAAAAAAACTGTTTAAATATTTGTTAAGGAGGACCAATTAATATGATTCCAGTATTCAAACTACATGAACTGACTGTTTGCGTTGATTAATAATAATTGCCCCAAATACTAAAAAACTGAATTTTGTATGAGTATTAGACAGTGTGATAAAAAGTAACACCTTAAAAATGATATTTCATTTTTAATAAATGCTTATTTATAACAACAGAGACTTTAATTGTGATAACTTATTATTATATTGATTTCTGACTCAAATCCACATTTATTTAGAATAATTTATCAACGAACACAATTAAGTATGTAATTAATTAGTATATGGGCGGAAATAATGGTGTTATATTTAATTAATGGTATACTCTTTTATACTTAAAGATTTAAATAGTTTTCTTTTTTGCATACAAATGGGCTAGTAATATAATCGTTTTGCTAAAAACGATAATATTACTAGCCTGTACATTTTGTACATTTGTTGCTTTAAAAACAATCTCAAATGTCAATATTCCATGGGTATATCGATAGATGAGGTCTAAATTATAAGAAAATGCATTTTCTACGAAAACTTGTAGGGATAGGTAAAAATGGTATACAATTTGATAGACAATTAAATTGTGCATCTGATTCTCCTAAAATATACAGGGCATTACATTTAAATTAAAGAAGTTATTGGCGTTTAAGGCTAGAAATTATTTAAAATAAATTTTTAGACACTCTGTATAAGGGAGTATTATTTTTATTATTGGAACACAATAACTGATCAATAAATAAACTTCAGTAAATATTTAGTATTAAAAACTTTGATACCCTTGGAGAAATGAAGCCTTAAAATTTTTACTGCAATTTCACAAAATTGAAAATATTTCAAAAAGGGTAAGGTTTAAGTATCATAAACGTAATCAAATTTACCTTTATTTTAATCGTAGAAACTAAAAATGTAATAATATACAGGGTGTTCCATTTAAAAAAATACAACTTTGATATTTTTTACTTATTTGGGATACTCTATCTTGTAAAATTATTTTTAAATTGTACCTCTAATAGTCCTACATCGAACCCAAAACTTGAAATTTGTAAAAATATAATCGTTTAGCTACAATACTCCGTGTCGTATGTGGTGAACAACCCTGTATACCTTTAAATTTAAAAGTTAGCTAACGAGTAGTCTTTTTTAGGCGTAAGCCTACTCAATGATTTAAATTTCATCATTTTTTTATCAATTCCATTGTTTCAAAAATGATTGGTTATCGACTTGAAATTTATACAAAAAAGTTGCTTTGAATTTCTTATCTAGTGTTACGGCTTAAACCTCTCCATTACCACAGATTAGGTATCCTATATGTATACAGATAAAAATCTTGTCCCTAATTAATTCATGGTACGAAAATTGTGTTTTATGACGATGAGCAAACGAGTAAATTTTCTTGTGCGCAAAAATAAACTCCCGTTTAAACAGCGTAATAACTGGGCCGGTCAGGCGCTGTGCACAATTTTACAGGCCATAAGTGGGCGTGCTTGTGCGCAAACTAGTAACCTAACTAGTGCGCGACTCCAAAAATTGGAACCACGAAAAACAATGCTTTTGACGATAAGTTTATAATCTGTATGATCTGTGCTATTACCTTCTAAACAAAACTCTCAATATGCAAGAGTGTGTTAGAAAGTGTTATAATTTTTCATGAGATTTTTTCTACTTCGTCTGATCGTTTCATTCACCACGGCTCATTGGAATATTAAATCTAATTGGTTAAACCATATACACGCTGTCCCATGGACATAGAACTACTACGTATTTTTGGAATCAAAATAAATTAATTGGACACAATAATTTGCCTCTATACAAAAGTGGTTCGTTTGTCCGTTAGATGACATCACACTTTAAAAAAAAACACATTTTTTAAGATATTTTAAGAACCGTCATTCTGATTTGAATGAAATTTGGAGTGCCTATCTTTTGCTAAACGCTTCAACATTTAACAATAATATATTATAATCGCAAAACATTTTCCGATGTACGTCATCAATCATCGACACCATTGACACTAAGTCTATAAACCTGACTAAATGAAATTTTGGCAAAAATGTTTAAATTTGTTGTATAATTTTAGATACCGAGCAGCTCTTCATTTTACTTTATAGAGCAAATGATTGTAACAGATATTTTATTTAGATTAAAGCTGCAAAAATTAGTTTAAACCGAATTTTATTATCGCTATGTTGGTCACATTGCGCCGTGTTCAGCAACTGCTGTCCTCCATTCACGCAGTTGTGCAGCTCTGAACTGTTCAAGAACGCGAAACTCTCACTCCAGTCAACTGAGTCATAAAGTTCAGAACTGTTCCGCGCCATATGAAGGCACGAGGCTATTGCGCACAGCTCCTTTCAGAACCGTTCTCGTGTAGCCCAGGGCGTAAAGCACTGGAACTTGAAGTTCGCGAATGGAGGACAGCAAATGTTGTCCTTTATTATTTGACAATTATTCTAGTGTCAGTCATTATTTTGTATAATATCGTGTTGTTGTTGAATCTTTGTAGTAATTCTCGTTTTTTTTTTGCCTATTTTCATAGTCTTTTTTTAATTGCACTTTTAAGCACAAACAGTTCTTTTAAGAACTAAATCTTCGAATTTTTGTATTGCATTTCTTGAAATTGTGTGTTGAAAATATGCCGAAGCATTTAAACAGCCAAAGCAAAGAGCTTTTCTGTATTTTAAAACAATTTTGAACGAGAACGTGACAATAAAGGTCCTTTATTACCCTTGACTGCAGTCAGAAAAGTAAGTTTTATTGATAAGTACTTTATACCACTTTCAAAGTTAGTTTTTATTCTGTGATTATTAGTTTGTGCATTAACAGCATCCTCTTACTTGTTATTACCACTTATGGCATTGTAAGATGTACATCAATAAATAAATTAATAACCCATAATAACGCTTATAATAATCTTCATAATGGACTAGTTTTTGTCAATATGTAAGAAGTAAAATAACCTATAAAATAAATAAATCAATTAATCGCTAAGATATTAGTTATTGGATTAAAAATAAAACGTAAAACTCTTTAAAAAATAATATAATAAATATATTGTTTGTCACTTTTAAATTAAGATTTATCTCAAATCCATCACAATCTGGCAGCGCTGTCGCCATCGCTTGTCACTCAAAGTTGATCAACTGCATCGGAAATTGTTTAACAATTACTCATAGGTACATCTTGTATAATTTTAGTACAAAATTTCATCGATCGGCACTTCTAAGATGTTCTTGACGCCATTTTTAATCTTACATGACTTACCTACTTATCTTTCTATTGTTTTATAGATTAAAACATCAAGAGAAAACTGTTCCAAAGCTCAACTCTACCAGTTTCTCGGATGATCTGAATATCAACGATCCATATAATATGACGTCATGACAGTTTAACCCTCAAAAGAGTTCAAATTTTTACCACAGAAATCTTACTGAAGAAACTTTACTTAGCACTGGTACTCCGACATCTATTATAGGTAAATAATAATCAGAAATAGTTTAGAGAATTAGAATTACCAAAGTTAGATTGCATATACACGGGGTTCGAACTGTATTCCGGAAACTTCGGCAGCATATTCTGCAGATAAAATTAAGTAAAAATGTTCTTATAAATGTATGTCCTAAAATGTCTAGTTTTGGAGATACAGGGTGTAGAAATTTAATTGTCAAAAGTATTGTCAATATTTGGACGAAAATTGGTGTATGGAAGTTTTTTGACGTGAGAAATTTGATTTTGATGTCAATATGTCTCTTATTTGTAGGTGGCGCCACCTACATGTGTTTTAACTGTTTTGAAGAGTGACTTTTCGTCCGTACCTGTATAAAACTACTGAGTGAAAAAATAAGCATTTCAAAAAAAGACGATTTCTTTGTCTATTTATTTATATTACAGTATGATTTCTTGATAATACGACAACTTAGGTAGTAGATTAAATTTACAAGAAAGAAAACCCAGAAAAGATCCAGGGGTTCTCAAAAATTAAACAAAAAATCATGTTTTTTTAAATTTTCAAAGTATAAGATAACTCGGTTATTTTGGATTACTTGAAAAACAGTAAAGAGAAAATGTGTTTTTTTTTTGTCGAGATCTACCAGCCCTGAAAATATTTCACTTATTTAAGGCTCACCCTGTATAGTGATAGTTGTTGTTCGGTATTTTGCATTTTTTGGATGTCCTGTGTTGATTCTTCCCTGAGTAGTTGAACACACTTAACGTACTATTTTAGTAAACAAACTCTACTCATTGGATTGAACTATACAGGGTGGTCCCAAATTCCGGAAACTAAATTAATTTCTGAAGTAACGTCAATATTTGGATGAAAATTCGTATCTGAAAGTTTTTTGACAAGAGAAATTTGATTTTGATGTCAATATCAAATTCAAACTCCTACTTCCAGAGGGCGCCATATAGTACATGTGTTTTAACTTACTGTTTTGAAGAGTAATAATTTTTCGTTCGTACCTATACATATAAAACTACTGAAAGAAAAATATACATTTTCCTGATTTTTTACGTAAAAAATTTCTCTTTGTAAAAAACGCTATGAGCAACCGTTCTCAAAATATTTAAAATGGAAGTAGTCAATTAATAAAACATAAAATAAATATGTTGACTGAAATTATAAATTTGGGAACTTTTGATTTTTTAAATTAATCATAAATTTTTCTTCGAAAAAAATAATGATAAAACAGTTTCTGTTGAACTTTTCACACAAAATAATTTCAAATTTATGATTTCAGTCTAATAACAATTTAGTCAACATGTTTAATTTATGTCAATGCCAAAGACATTATAAAGATAGACCGAACATCTCATTCATAAATACTCGTTGGAAGTGTATCAAACATTCCAATGTGTCAAACAAGGACAGAAGAGACAGAGAAGTCTAAAATTTCCGACCCTGGCAACTAGGCGCATTTGGATTGTTCTAATGGCCAGTGGCGTATCGTTTTTTGGAAGGTATTTAATTATATTAATTAGTAAAGTAAAAGTATAGTAATTAGTAAAATTTTTACTCCATATTAATATACTACATTAACACTTTTTCGTCAGATGAGTTTTGTTATAAGGTCTAATATAATAAATATCCCATATATACTTATGTTGAAACGTTAGTAGGTAGTTTTCGAAAATCGCTCCAACGTCGATTTTCAATTTAAACTTTCAGTTACTTCTATATAAACTTTCAGTTACTTCTATATAAAGTTTCAGTTAATTTTGAATATTTACAGGATGACTCAAGTTTCTGAAACAGTTCTATATTAGGTTTGTGGTTGGTGACTTTTCTTTCAATTTTTTTTTCAGAATATGGAGGCAATGGTAAAGCACATTTTAGACATTTTTGTAAACATAGGTGGCCGGAACATATTTTCACACTAAAGTTGTAGATTTGCCATTAAATTTCCAATCCAGAAATACCTAGGGTTGCCACCTGTCCTTTTTTGAAAAGGACAGGCCTTTTTTGGAATAACTTGTCCTTTTGACTTTTTTTGACTTAAAAAGTCATTTTTATTTACGTATTTTCCCTGAGAAAATTACCTACAGCAAACAGAAATATTCTTTTCGTCCAAATTTAATTAGAGATGTTATAAAACTTATAAATAAATTTTTCTTGTTTAGAATAGGCAACATTATTTAGAACTTCCCGTTTAATCTCAAATGATAGTTTAGGTTTTAGTTTTGCCTTTTTTGATCTTAAAAAGAACTTTTCAAAATTAGTAATTAGCAACGATTTAGTTAGTTTGCAATCGATAGCTTCCTGTGAAGTACTGTGTAATAATTGTTTAATCTTGTATTATTAATAACTTCCTATACCTAAAATTAATATTTAATGAGAAAATTGTGGTTTTTTGAAAATATAAGAGAAGATTTGACTCTTTCGGTCTTCTTCTTGTATTATGATGGCTCTGATTACCTCTGAGATTACCTTTTAGTCTCTCAATAGAAGGCATTTATCATTAAAAGTATCAAATCTGTGTACTTCCAGTATGGGATTTCTGTCGCATAATAATGAATATTACGTTTATTTACAAACCCATTACTTTTAAAGCTATCTTCATCAGACAATCAAATTTTAGTTAAATGTCTCAATCTTCATGAACTGTATTAAGCATATGTATTGCCGTTTGAATCACCCTGTATGTTGACAAAAATATTTTGAAAATGTGCGTTACAATGGCCCCTATCTTATGTAAAAAATTGAAATAAAAATCGCAAACCAAAACGTAAAGGTAAAAGCTTTTTGGAGGCCTGGGTCACTCTGTATATAGGTATGTATAAAACTAGTAGCCTAAAAATTATTTAGAGTTTGTCCCATTCTAAAAAAAAGGTAAACACACCTTACAAATAACTCTAGGAAGAGGTATTTTTACGGTGGTAAAAAAATGTCTAAACAAGGCCGAAGGGGCAGATATAATAAAGCAGTAAAATGTAAAAAAGGTCGGGTAAACACCTTTGTTTATTTGTTGAGCAAAATTCCTTTAGAATATCGTATATAATGGCCAAAATATGACGCAATTTTAAGAAAAAAAATGTCACTTTCTGGCTTATAATAAAGTTTCAAATGCAACGTTTATATTCAAATTTGTTATGATCTACAACAGTTAGGTAGTAATTGAGACGAATTATAATTCAATTACCGGCTACTACGTTCTTGTTTTAATAGATCAAAATTCAACAAATATAATTAGAAATTATTTTAATTGTCCCTTGTGGGACGCCTATGTACAATTACGGCGGAAATTTGTAGCTACCTGTGAAAAGACAAATTCGGCTAATTTGAGCTTATTTTTCCACACACTTGACACTGTCGTACCATATTGAAAATTCGCAGATTCAAAAGTACGTTAAACAAAAACAAAAACTACTGAAAAACACTGAAAAGTTCACTTCGGACTTGATTCCGACTTCAAACACACCGTAAGCTAAACGTAGTACGCTATAACGGACCAATGGCCGTCGCGAGGGGTGGTGGGACGGACGGCTCATTTCATTCTGGAAGACTAGCAGCGACGTTGCCAATAGTTCTAGACGTTTCAGCACATTAAACAGTAAACATGTCCTTTAATAGTAACGCATATATCCTCTGGTTAATCACATATTATTACGCATGCTTCTTTAAAAATAAACTATTAATTTAATTAAGAAATTGAGATTTATTGATATCCGGTGAAGGTTTTAAAGTCACCTTTTCTGCAAATCAAACTAAGTAGATAGGCGCAAATTTGAGATGTGGCAATGTCGCCTTCTTTATCTCAGTTGGTTTCTACAGTACGTAGTCAACCTCCGATTGTTTGATCGGGTTAAAATGCACAATGTGATATCTGTTCTTCCTAAATCTATGGTCAATGCTAACAGGTATTAATAATTTAGACTCCAAATATCTGGATAACCATTACTCATAGCGATTTTTATAAAGAGACATTCTTTACGTAAAAAACGTCGTAAATGTATTTTTTTTGCTCAGTAGTTTTATACAGGTACGGACGAAAAGTTAGTACTCTTCAAACCAGGTAAAAAATATGGAGGTGGCGCCCTCTGCAAGTAGGAGTCATATTGACATCAAAATCAAATTTCTCATGTCAAAAGACTTTCAGATACCAATTTTCAATCAAATATCGACGTTTCTTCAGAAATTATATGGAAAAAATCGAAATAAAAATGAAACTTGTACACCCTGTATCTCCGAAACTAAGCATTTTAGGACATACATTTATACGCACTTTTTTATTTATTTTTGTCTGCAGAATATACTGCCAAAGTTTCCGAAATACAGTTCGGACCACCCTGTATAATTTTTACGAAATATTTAATAGAATAGTTTTATACAATTATTATTGTATTTTTAAGTTTATAGAGGTATTTATTGAAGTTACTGAAAAAATTACACTTTTGCAGATATGGGCCATGAAATGGTTCCCATCACGGTGGGTACGAAAATGCCAGAAGTAGTGGAAGGTAGCGTAGCGATGACTGGAGTTTACACATTACCAGAAGAACCTGAAATGGAAGAGAATTCCGAAGGAAACACTGAAATGTAGACTTTAGAAGAATAAATCAATCTAAATAGAAGCATTATACTTTGTGGCTATAAATTGTGGACTATTTTTAACGAAAAATATTTGAAATAATGTTCATGATTTACATTTATAGAATAATAAGACTTATCAGAGTGTTATAAACTCTTTTGATGTTATAACACAAACTTTTTGTTACCTACATATATTAATCTTATTATAGTATTATTTTGATGTAACTTTCATTGTATGTACTAGGAATTAATTTTTGTGAAGAGTTATGAGGGCAGTAACATTCAAACCTACTTTTGTTTTCTACATTTTGATAATTTATTAAAATCTGTATAAAATTAAATTATTATTCAGAGACACTGATTCCTAAAAACAATGCGGTCGAATCTTTGAATAAAAAGACTATTTATACTAAAATTTCGGTTTATCAGTAGCGTTCCATTTTGTAAAAATGTGTTAAAACTTAAAGTAGGGTACATTCATGAATTTGCAGATTTGTTTTTACGTTAAGTGAATAAGTGTTATTAATAAAAAAAAACATAAAATATACAGTATGTCCTCTGATTGTCGTTATAACAGGAAACACTTTTTTATTATTGACATTTTGAGAAAAATGTTTGCTTGTTCCAAAATGGTTAATCTCGTTTGTTATTTTCCAGATTTCCATACTTATACTTTTTTAGAGAAAATTAAGGTTGTATTCCGTTGCTTACCTTGGTTATGGTTTTATGTTATGTTCCGAACACGGTTCCTAAAAAAATCGGTTATAACTGTCACCAAACTAACCAGCGCGACAAGGCTGGTTTTTCTGGTTTTGTTTGTCAATCAATGTGATTTATGTGTTTTGTGTTTTGTTTGTCAGTTCGAGTGAAATTCTCATTTAATTTCTAAAATTTGTAATAATATTTTGTATTTACATCCAAAAGCAATGGAAGTATGCAGTAAAGGTAAATAAATTTCATTAACTAAATAGAATTACTTTTTAGGGCCATTTAAACTTATCATGCAGCCATTGTTTCTTATAGTCAGGAACATTTAAAGAAAACATGAAAAACAAGACAACAAGTAATCGTGAATGTTTTGTACGCTGTAAAAATATAAATATTGATTAGATTTGTTTATTTATTACTGATGTGTTTTAATATTGGACCTGCAAATCTTCACTTGAGCTTTAATAAAGTACTTTCCAATATTAAACTCCACTGAGAAGAAGAAGCAAACGTAAAAACAGAGAATAGGTACATTAAAAATGCATAAAAGATAAATTTTATAATAGAGATATTGAAATTTAGAAAACGTCAACATTTGACGTTTCCAGTATTTTACCAAACCGTTCCGTATCAAACTGATGTTTTTCAAGAACCGCTCTTTACCGTAATTTACCGGTCTGATTTGCCTGGTTTTGCAACGGAATACAGCCTAAAGGTGCGTATTCATTATCCGAACGAACGAACGAACGAACGAATGAAAGTGCGGTATATTTCGACGGGGACCGAACGCATGCAGCCGTTCGTTCGTTCGTTCGGTCGACCATCCGTTTCGAGTCGGCACATCAAAGGCGTTCGCCAACAAATGCCTCCGGTCTTCTCGTGCGTCCTATCGTGCGGTCCCCGTCCATACCACTAGCGAACATTCGTTCGTACGTTCGTTCGTTCGTTCGGATAATGAATACGCACCTTAAGAAAACATGAAAATATGGTTGATTTTTTTCTAAAATCAAAACGCGTTTCTATGGTAATAAAGAAACGCGTTTTCATTGTTTGAACAACAAAGTAGTTTTCATTCTTTGATAGATTGTTGTTCATAGAATTTTAATTAACGTAATATTTTTGTTGTTTTAAAATGTTAAATAAGCACAAAATGTATTTAGTTCAATGCTACGGAAAGGGTGATGATAGTACCTATCGGAAAATATGATACATTTTTGACACACATGACAAAATTAAAAATGACTAACCATTTAACAAGCAAATTTTTTTATGAAGAATGCATTTTTCTGAAAATGTCGATAATAAAAAAGTACTTCCTCTTGTAAATGCAATCCGGGGACATACTGTAAAATACATGTACGTAACGTTTTTTTTTAATAATTTTATTAACCCCTAAACTCTTCCTAACTTAAACATGTTTTTCTTGTGCACAAATTAATTTATTCAGATTAATATGTTAGTCAAAACCTTTGTCAAAACGAATATATGTGTACAGAGTGTATCAAAAAGTTTGCAACAAATAGGATTTTATTATTATCAAGTCATTGGTAGTAGTTTGGACGGACTTTCTAACTTCGACATCTAACTGCCATTGCGGCAAATTATACAAATTCTGAAACGGCGGTCATATTTTAGATAATAAAAAAAATCCTAAAACCATAAAAAATATAAATATGCAAAAATCGACGGTAGGAGATAATAGTCGACCGAAAGATTAACATACACAAGCGATGAAATCGCGAGTGAATTAATTTCGGGAAACGATAATGCAATTTTATCGTCGTGTGTAAAACAATATTTTTTTTCCATAGCGAGTTACGTTTTAAAAAATATTCAGAAATTATTATTTCAAGGAATTTATTACGAGTAGAAAAAATATTTTCCTGAGTTGGCGTTGGTTTCTGTGTAATTTGACAAATAAATAAAAGCTTACTTCGGGTTTCTCTTATTACCGATTCTGAACCAACCGTCCTAGAACTGTGATGCGTATGTGCAGAAGGAAATATGAAGACATTATTTCATTTGCGCATGCGCTGCAGAGTTCTAGGACGGTTCAGAATCGGTAATAACAAGAACCCGAACAAAGCTAAAGTTGTTTCTTTAGTTGTCAGCAGAGGTCAGTTTTAAATCAATATTTTTTAATTCTCTTTCGTGTCGATTGCTGACTGAATTGGAGCCAGAAATGGCACAAAACGAAATATGTAAATTACCAACAGATATTCAGGCTGAAGCGACAAATGCCATATCCAAACTACTTCCATTTAAATCCCGAATAACTTATGAAAAGGAATACAAAAATTTTCAAAAATAGAAGCAATTAAAAAACGTGGGAGAAGAAATAAAGTTTTTAACCTATCCTCGCTGTTAAAGTATCATTTAATCTACCCTTGCGGTTAAAGTACTATTCTATCTACTATTTTTGATAGTAACAAGGCAAAATATGAACTTTGAATCTCATAGATATACAGGGACTTATAATACTTATTTATGTTCTTGTTAGAATGATATAAGACAAAACCAATAATAAAAATAATTTCTTAAGCAATAATTTAATTTGACTGTCCCGCAACGACTTGTAAAAAACTATAGATAGATGTTAATTTTCAGAATACTGGCTTTGTGTGAAAGAAAAATTTTGGAGTAGTCCCCCTCGGTACCAAATTTATTTCGCTCTTAAAAATTAAACAAGGCATGTGTTGATATGCGCCAAAATACAAAATGATTAGAAGACATAGTTCTGATTGTAAAATAATGTTTTAGAAAAATTTTCCTACAGAATGTATTAAACTTAGGGTAAAAAACAACAATTCTATTAACCCTGTATAATAGCCAAATTCTAAAGATTATAAAATTAGCTTAATATATTTATAAACAATTTGCTAAAAAAACTCATGAAAATAGGACTAAATTAAAAATAAAATAAAATATACAGGGTGGCGCACCTCATTCGCCTCGGTTGATTATGCGAAAACGGAAAGATGTAGAAACAAAATATTTTATGGGTATATGTGGGGAGACAATGTGCACAATATAAAATTATTTTGAAATATACAGGGTGTTTCAGAACGAAGATTCATACCAAAGTTATATTTTTTCCTATGGAACACCCGGTATTTTATTTCATTTTTGGATTCTTGGGCCCAAAAAAAGACATTTATTATAAGGGTTAAATATGTTTAAAATTTTTAGTTTTTTAGATATTTAAAGATATTTAAATTTGTATGCTACAATAGAATAGACTGTTCACCATGTACAGGGTGGGTCAAATTCGACGCTTTTAAATGGAAACACCCTTTTCTATAGGAGCATATCCGCATATCGATATCTGTTACCGTTTCGGAGTTACGGGGTGTTTTTCAAAAATATGCATTTTTAACAAATCGCTGTAACTTTTTTGCTATGGAAAATTTTGTATTTTTGTGAAAACATTTCCAAAGCACCTTTTTACGTAGAATTTAATGGTTTAAGTATAATTTTTTTAAAATTAATAATTTAAGAATTATCAACAGAAAATTTGATTTTTTATATGATACACCCTGTATATCTTTAATTTATTGAAAAGAATTTAAAATTACCTTTACAAAAATATAACACACTTGATATTTTGCTCGATTCCTCTTCGAGAGATAGAGTATACAAAAATTCGCAGGCTTTAAATAAGTAGGCTTTGAATGGCACCGGCTGTAATGCAAAAAAATTCTAGCTGTGAGCATCAATTAAAACGAAAATAATATTTGCTATGAGAGATGCAGAATTTTATAAGAATTTAAAATATATTTAACCAACATCAACACATTTAAACTATATCTGATAACAATAAAAATAAATAGCAAACCAAGACATGAGATTTTGCTGCAGGTGTTCGACCGTCTTCTGTTATATCGACCATCTTCTGTTATGGACAGACGGGGCCGTTTCTGAACATTTCTCGCGGAATTCATTAACTCAGAGAGGTGAAAGGTACCCCCTCAGAACTGCTAAGTATTTCTAATTCTTGTCTAGATTATACGGGAGAATAAGGAACCTTTATTCTTCCGCAAATATATCCATAGGATTAGATCCATGGGCACTAAGGTGGCCTCGACGGCCAACGGCTAGGATCTTTGTTAGCTATTCAATTATTCTTGAAATTGGCTGCAAATATTTGGTGATAACTTCAGCGTTCTGAGGCGGTGCCTCTTCTTGCTGGAAAAATATGTTTTCGAGTTCCATTAAGGGCATATCATCAATAAGGGGTCCAAAGGAATATAATAAAATATCAAGTGTGCTATATTTTTGGTAAGGTAATTTTATATTCTTTTCGGTTAATTAAAAATATAAAGGGTGTCCCAAATAAAAAATCAATTTTTCTGTTGATAATTCTTAAATTATTAATTTTAAAAAAATTATACTTAAACCATTAAATTCAACGTAAAAAGGTGCTTTGGAAATGTTTTCATAGAAATACTAAATTTTCCGTAGCAAAAAAGTTACAGCGACTTGTTAAAAATGCACATTTTTGAAGAACACCCTGTAACTCCTAAACGGTAACAGATATTGATGTGCGGTTTTCACCATCATATTTTTGATGAAAATTGAGCTCCAGACTCCGATATTAGTTTTTGTCTATCTCCTACAGAAAAGGGTGTTTCCATTTAAAAGCGTCGAATTTGACCCACCCTGTACATTACTTTTCAGAATTAATTCTTATGCTGAGTTTAAAGGTAGAGAAATAAACTTGAAAACTTTGAAAAATGGTATTGGTTCCTTAAATTTATACAGGACTATCAAAAGTTGCTGATCTATTTTAAGGATATATTTTATATAAAAACTTCGTTATTTCAAATGCAACACCCTGTATTTTTTTTAATAAATCGAAGCAGATTCAACTGCTCTTTCAAACTGTATTAGGATTTCCTATACCTATCTAGATCAGATTTTGAATAAAAAGCGATTTTTAAATAAAATTGCAATTAAGATGGCTGGTGTTGCCATTTTTGGCAATTTTCTAATGACAGTTAGTAACTAATTTCAAAGTCGACATTGGTTTATGGACATTATTATTTATAATTTATAACAGTTTACTTAAATTTACCTACAATAGTTTAATAAGTAAGTATTCTTTATTTTATCAAGAAAAATAAAGCAGTATCTGCTGGCGGAATGAATAAATATGTTACTAGTGATATTATTTTGTGAGGAAAATTGCTTCTTGGCCTTTGCTTGTTGCCAAAGATATCCAAATAGAAATCTTCCTGATAAGCGTTTCTTTGAAAAACTTCTTGTCCTATTTCGCAGAGCTGGTAGTGTGGTTTATAAAAACCTGTTAGGCAGAAACCTGTCGTTGGAAGTTGGAAGTGAATAAAATGAATTTGCCGTAATTGGCTATTTTATAGAAAATCCATGTAGGTATCTACAAGTCATCGTAAAATAATTCAAAGAACTACTTCTTCGTTTTTCTTGATAGAATAATATACATACATTTAATAAATATTATTTATTAAACTAAGGTAAATTAAATAAAAGTAAACTGGCATAAATTTAAATAAAGTCCATAAACTAATATCGATTTTGAAAATAGCTACTAGAAACTTACCATGACAACACTAGCCATCTTGATTACAATTTTATTGAAGAATCGCTTTTTATTCAAAATCTGAGCCAGATAGGTATAGGAAACCCTAATATAGTTTGAAAGAGCATTTAAATCTGCTTTGACTTATTTAAAAAAATACATAGTGTTGCCTTTGAAATAACGAAGTTTTTATGTAAAATAAATATTTAAAATAGACCAGCAATTTTTGATACCCCTGTATACATTTAAGGAAGGAATAACATTTTTCTGTAAAATTTATTTTTCTACCTTTAAACTCAGCACAAGAACTAATTCTGATAAGTAATGTACAGGGTGTTAATAATCTATTCTATTGTAGCATGCAAATTTAAATATCTTTAAATATCTCAAAAACCAACGATTTTAAACATATTTAATCCTTATAATAAATACCTTTTTTTGGGCCCAAAAATCCAAAAATGAAATAAAATACCGGGTATTCCATAAGAAAAAATATAACTTTGGTATGGATCTTCGTTCTGAAACACCCTGTACATTTCAAAATAATTTTAAATTGTGCACATTACCGCCCCACATATACCCATAAAATATTTTGTTTCTACCTCTTTCCGTTTTCGTATAATCAACCGAGGCGAATGAGGTGCGCCACCCTGTATAACACTTCAAATTTGAAGAACAATTTTTCTCCGTTCCGTTTTTTTTGCATCTGAGTCATATCTGAGTGGATAAAGAAGATTTTTGAAATATTCCTTCCATGTGACAGTTGTCCCATTCTGTCAAAATTATACGGTATGCTGAAGAATTCAGAATACACATCTTTCAATAATTCAATAATAAGAAAATCCCATTTGTTGCAAACAGTTTGGCACACTCTTTTCGGTCAATATAGTCTCTACGATGAGAAAAGGAAAATGCCACAATAATCATATTTTCGGTAATTTCTTGAATATTTTATATCATATCATATTTAAAACTAGACATATTGTTTTTGTAAATAACCCAAATTCTTGTAACTAAGTCTCGTGCATATATATGCTATAGAGGACTATCAAGATTACTAAAAAAATTCTAAATATACGGATAACCTTTGAAAAGGAATAATCATAATGTAAAATTTGTAAAAAAGTGTATAAGTATAATAATGAATTTCTAATAGTCAAAATATTAGAATTGTTAATAATTTCTTTACGAAAGACATAGTTGCGACTATGCCTGAATCTTTTTTAAATGTAATGAATAAAAACTGTTTTTTCAGTTGAAATATTGAGTTTTAGTTTACAACTTATTAACTATTTAGTTAAAAATTGTATAGTACTATGGACCCAATTAAAAACTAACCGTAATGTTAAAATTAAACCAAATATAACTTTTTAGTGTTCGCAAAATGACAAAGAAACCAAACTGATTAATAATCATTGGTAAATGTTAAAACTTTGTAAAAAAAGATAATAAAGAATTTTGAAAAAGATTGTGTTATTATTCTAAAACTAGGCTAGTTGCTGATAAATAAAACAAAATGTAGAAAGATATCGAAATACATAGAAATTAGTTGAATCAAATTGTAGACAAAAATATATAGAGGGTGGTCCGAACTGTATACCGGAAACTTCGGCAGCATATTCTGCAGATAAAAATAAGTAAAAAAGTTTGTATAAATGTATGTCCTTAAATGCTTAGTTTCGGAGATACAGGGTGTAGAAATTTCATTTTTATTTCGATGTTTTCCAAATAATTTCTGAAGTAACGTCAATATTTGGATTAAATTTGGGGTCTGGGAGTTTATTGACATGAGAAATTTGATTTTGATGTCAATATGACTCCTACCTGTAGAGGGCGCCACCTACATATTTTTTAACTGGTTTGAAGACTAATAACTTTTCGTCCGTACCTGTATAAAACTATTGAGTAAAAAATATACATTTAAGACGTTTTTTACGTAAAAAAGGTCTCTTCGTAAAAATCGCTATAAGTAATGGTTCTCGAGATATTTGAAATCAAAATTATCAATACCTGCCATCATTGACATAAATTAAACATGTTGACTAAATAGTTATCAGAATGAAATCATAAATTTGAAATGTTTTTGTATAAAAGTTCAACAGAAACTCTTTTATCATCATTTTTTCGCAGAAAAATTTATGATTAATTTAAAAAAATAAAAATTTCCCAAATCTATTATTTCAGTCAAATAACTATCTACTCAACGTGTTTATTTTTTGACAATGACATGTATTGACTACTTCCATTCTAAATATCTTGAGAACGGTTGCTCGTAGCGATTTTTACCAAGAGACATTTTTTTACACAAATTTTTTTTCATTCAGTAGTTTTATACAGGTACGGATGAAATATTATACCTCTTCAAACCAGTTAAAACACATGTAGGTGACGCCCCCTACAAATAGGAGTCATATTGACATCAAAATCAAATTTCTCATGCCAAAAAACTCCCAGACACCAATTTTCATCCAAATATTGACGTTACTTCAGAAATTATTTGGAAAAAATCGAAATAAAATGAAACGCACCCTGTATATCCGAAACTAAGCATTTTAGGACATACATTTATACGAACTTTTTTACTTATTTTTATCTGCAGAATATGCTGCCGAAGTTTCCGGAATACATTTCGGACCACCCTGTATAACAAAAATTAATATTATAAATATTAATTTGATTTATTTTATAAAACTTAACAAATCAAGAATATTTACATGGCAGCTATTATATTGTTCACAATTTTGTGTCTTACTGCCAGTTTCTTCTGCTTCCCAATATTCCGAGAAATAATCCTCATTGGTATCGTTGGTCGTCGAAGGTCTAAAAAATAAAGTTTATACAATAATTAAAACCATAATGAACCATAATGGGGGCCATGTCAGCCAGATTCAAGATGTGACCAGATGTGGCAAATTTTATTTTAGACTATTTAAGCCAGTGCAGTGGCGGCTCGTGACCCGTGGGACTGGGTAGGCGACAAAATTTTATAGAAATTTTAAAACACTTTTCGATGCACGTCATCAACTTTGAGTGACAAGCGATGGCGACAGAGCTGCCAGATTGTGATGGATTTATGAGATGAATCTTAATTTAAAAGTGACAAACAATATATTTAGTATATATAATTTTTATATATATTTTTTAAGGCAGCAGCTACTCGCTACAAATTGAAATAAGTAGAAATAACTTTGAAGTGGTATAATGTGCTTACCAATCAATCTTACTTTGACTGCATTCAAGGGTAATTAACCTTTATTGTCACGTTCGCGCTCAAAATATTTGTCAGGGAAGCTACAAGCGCTTTGCTTCGACTGTTTAAAGGCTTCGGCATATTTTCAATCCGCAATTTCAAAAAATGCAATAAAAAATCTTGAAAATTTAGTTCTTAAAAGAACTGTTCATGTTTAGAAGTGCAATTTAAAAGAAAAAATAACTATAAAAAACGGCAAAAAACGAGAATTACTCCCAAAAATTCAACAACACGATATTATACAATTATCCTAGTGTCAGTCATTATTTTAATGACTGACACTAGGATAATTGTCAAATAATACACGACAACATTGCTGAACATGGCGCAATGTGACCAATAAGGCGATAATAAAAATCGGTTTAAACTAATGTTTGCAGGTGTAATCTAAATAAAATATCTGTTACAATCATTTGCTCTATAAAGTATAATGAAGAGCTGCTTGGTATTTTAAATTAGCCAACAAATTTAAACATATTTGCTAAAATTTAATTTACTCAGGTTTATAGGCTTTAGTGTCAATTTCGATATGATTGATGACGTGCATCGGAAAATGTTTTAAAATTTCTATAGTTTCGCCTATTTGTTCTACCTCCTCCTCCCTCTCCCAATTTACATAATATCCTAACCCAGTTCGTAAAATTATGTTATCTCTGGGTTAAAAACATAGCTCAAGAATATTTAGCACAAAACTAAAGTAAAAATAACAGCATTCAACGTAATGACATAATGATTGACATAATGAACAACTATATGTTTTTTTTAATCTCCTCAGATGCTAATTTTTATGTACTTTGATAAATAAGGTAGATAATAGTAGGTATAGTACAGTACGTCTGTCCGTTCTGTGGCAACGGGGTATCCGTGAGAGGGGAAACGATATTCTCTCGATGTTTTTCGTAAAAAATTAGACAACGCGTCCCATCAATAAAAATTCGACAAATTTGCAAGTAGCCAATAAAATGAGTAGGCGGAGCGATTTGCGGTGACGTACTTGTCAAGTCGACGTATAAAATATATTGCTGTTTATTTAAATGTTTTTTGTCCGCATTCCTTTCATAGACACAGATCCAGTAGACGAACTGTACATCTGCTGGATCTGTGTCTATGAAAGGAATGCGGATAAAAAACATTTAAATAAACAGCAATATATTTTATACGTCGACTTGACGAGTACGTCATCGCAAATCGCTCAGCCCACTCATTTTATTGGCTACTTGCAAATTTTATTGACGGGGCGCGTCGTCTAATTTTTTAAGAAAAACATGGAGAGAATATTGTTTCCCCTCTCACAGATACTCCGGAGCTACAGAACGGACAGACGTACTGTACTATGCAGTACATCATTTTTGAGATTTTATTTATTTACGTTAACTTAAAAATTGGTATGTAATATAGACAATTAAATTTACAAAGAAAAATAGATTCTCTTGTTCATCTACATATATATCGAGACTAATAAAAAAAGAAAAGAATAATTATGTTTTATACAGGGTGCTACACATTCGAGGTACGAGCATTGGTATACATATATCGGTAACTGTAATAGATACGAACACGGTTAAATTGGGACAAAGTTGCGCTTTGGGATGTTTACCAAGATGCAATCAAAAAATATTTAAAAATTTCAAGGATTGCTGTAATTTTATTGTTTCCTGTCGTTACTTTTTAGAAAATCAACAAACTAATTGCACATTCTCTTTATTAGGGCTATCGCCACTTTATTAGGGCGATCTGATAATATTTTTAGATTTTCAAACTAGCTGATAATTTGTGAGATACAGAGGCCAACTTGTTCTATGCTCTACATGTTCGAAAGGGTTACCACCCTCCCTATTGCACAAATTTATTTTTCGTTCAGTTTTATTTTTCTTTGAACTTTCTTCTTATACTTCCGAATTTAATTTTGTACTCTTTATTGTAAATGTTGAGATGTATTGATTTCACTTTTACAAATGACGTCAAGTAATGCCCCCCTCCCCCTGAAAATTTTAATATACAAAACCAAAAATATTAAATTAATATTGGTTATTACAACACATTTCCGAGTATTAAAACGGAAATTAATACTTAAATAATTAATTAATTATATTAATTAATTATTTTTATGTATTGGCAACAATAATAGTAAATAATATAATGGAATAAACCGCTTAAATTCTGACTAAATCGTAGGATAGGCGCCACCTGCCTTGCCTACCCTGACGAGCCGCCACTGATTTAGGCCAAATAATAAGAATAAAAATGGATTGCAGTTGAGGGTTGGAATTTTTGGTGTTAGAACAGCAAAATAAAGGCCTTCGGCTGGCGACACTTTTGGCTCTTGGGTATTTGTCAAATTTGACATTAAAAGCAGTGATAAATGGTTAAAAATAGACTTTAGTAACCAAAGTTTCAAAAACCTTATATAATATAAACGTTTTATATAAATATGCCTAAATTTTTAGCCTAGAAAAAGAATAATTTTGGACTAATAGCAGTAATTTTAAAACTAAATTGCCCTCGGTTTTTTAGTATAAAATTCTAGCACCAAAATCACAATAATTATATTCCCATTATTCTATTCCGTTTAATATCCGTAATATAATATAAAAACAAAAAATAGACACAACTAGTAAGAGTCAATTTCGCTAGTCCGAAAAAGTAGCAAAATAAACGTTCGGCATTTAACGTTTTATGTAAAACTGACTAGGTATTCTTAGACAAATGAAGTGGAAAATTAAAGACAAAGGATTATACTATACTATATCCGTATTGTAGCACATTTGTAGACAACTTCTTTATTTGTAAGATTTTGATGGTCAAACATCAACAAAATATTCCTTATGTTTGGACTAAATTTTCTCGAAAATAAAGACATAATTTCAAATTCCGTTACAATACGGAAATAGATTGAGTTTTGTAATTACAGTGATCTATAATTTATATGGTTTTGTAACAAATTGTTCTCTATTTTATGGCAAATGCTGAAGCTCTGCAAACCTTAATCAAGCCTTAATCAAAGCACGTGTGTTTGGAATTTTGGGTGTGACTCAACACGACAGGGTCGGGCTAAGTCTTAGGCAGATTTCTGAAATATAATATATATTTCTTTCGGCCATACACCCGCTTTACCCGACCCCTGAGAGCGACCCGAAAGGTACAGCGTAATAGACTCTTAAGAATTAAAGACTTACAGCATACTTACGTTAATAGGATGTGAAATAAATCTCCTAGAACTCCGTTCAAGTGTTGCATAGAATAGGATGCCGCCTCGCAGATGCTTCTTAAGAGGCACGCTTTACCTGGATAACCTTTTCTGAAACATCACAGAACAGAAAATGTGCATTTGTTTAGTTTCCTCTTGTCGTCAACTTAAAATAGATACATCTTTGTTTTATTCAGAGGTTCATTTAGGCTGAGGACACACGAGGCGGCTTTTCGTCGAAGCGGCTCGGAACACTGAGGCGGATGGTAAGTCTAGCGGGACAAAACATCAGTAGCGATGTTTGAGATTTAAATAAAATCTAAGAACGTAGCAAATGGTCTAATATATAGTAACCATAGAGTTAAATTTATTTTTTTATTAACAACTTAATTTATTAATAAATAAATAAATACAAGATTGTTGTCCCGCTAGAACGACCATCCAACGCACTGTGCGCCGCGGGTTGTGCCGCCTGCGTAGGCTCTTCAATGGGACATCAAGGGCACAAATTACCTATAACAGATGCGAAAGAAAGCGACTGAATCGCAAACCGCTCGGCAAACCCGACACGCCTATTGAGTGGTGTAAATACACCAGTCGTTTAGTCCGGAAACATATGCTGTGTCGTATTCGCTTGCTGGAATGACATAATGCGTGGTTATATGTTTCTTTTTAAAAACGCGTGTAGGATTTTTGTTGAACTTATGAACTGTTATTTCTAAGTTTTGGTAATTTGTATATCTTATTTAAAATGGGATGCAAATGTGTTTATTTATAAGGAAAAAAAGATATTTATAGTATAAAAAAATAATTTATTTAACAAAATTTAATTAAAAATGTGACAAAATAGTTACCTTTCTATTGGTTCTATCGGACTTTTTTTCGATATATAAATCTTTATTTGTAAACTTTAATACATCAAATATTTTCAATCTAATAAATCATTTAATGATGTAAATAAGAGGAAATTTCTCACATGTGTGGTCAAATTTTATAGTTTTCACTCGAGTTTTCATTATATCAAACAGCCTCTGAGAAATGTTTTCAACTCAAAATGCCTTTAATTATGTTTGACTACATCATTAAAAAGGGTCTTCAAATACATCAATGTGATATTTGTCTAAAATTTGCGAAAGAATCCGAATCTCTGGATAACTCGAAATTATTTACCCATTTAAAAGCCTTTGATCATGAAAATGGAAAAATTTGTTAATTTTATTTACAGGCTGGAAAAATTATTTATATTAAATTTTGATGAGTTTTGCACTGAAGAAAACATTCAGAGGCTGTTTGATATAATGAAAACTATAGAATTTGACCACCTATGTGAGAAATTTCCTCTTATTTATATCATTAAATTATTTATTAGATTGAAAATATTTTATGCATTAAAGTTTACAAAAAATAAAGATTTATATAGTCGAAAAAAGTCCGATAGAACTAATAGAAATGTAACTATTTTGTCACATCTTTAATTAAATTTTGTTAAATAAATTAATTTTTTATACTATAAATATCTTTTTTTTCCTAATCTCCGACGAGCTGATATAATATGACGAGCAATCTATTAAATTACTGTGAGATTATACAGAAAAGTCCACAGACTTCGAGGCATAGAAAAATCAAGTCCATTTAGCGTGTGTCCTAATTTTGACAAGTTTTCAAAAATGACAGTTTTGTTTAGACTGACGTTTAATTTCACCTGACTTCTCGGTGAATTATTTCTTTTTATGGGGGTACATAAAATCTAAAATTTACGGCCATGAAGAAATTCAAAACTTGGAGCAGTTAAGGCAGAAAATATTTAATGCCTTTGACACTGTCACCCCTGATATGTTATCCAATGTGAGGAGGGGATTTTATGATCGTTTGGGTTATTGTTTAATGCAAGAGGGAGGCACTTTTGAACAATTTTTGTAATTTTTTAAATTTCATTATCCTGTTTTTTTACCGTTTACCCATTACCTACCTTGACGAACATGGGAAAACGAAGGTCCTTTTCAGGACCACAAATATTTTGATTGAGAAAATTGGTAACTTTTTTTTGGATTAAAAAACAAAAGTTGTTAATATAATACCAATTTAAAAGTGTTTTAGTAGTTTTAATACACACTATGATATAAAATTTATTATTATTATAATGTACATTATTAATACTATTGTTCATTCGAAATGGCATTAAGGCCCAATTGCAACAATGATTTAAATTTTTCTTAAAGATAAGTAGAGCTTAGAATGAGCTGTATTTATATTTACTTTAATATTCACCTTAAATGATGGAATTTGACTGATACAATTTTTGAATTTGAATTGTTTTTAATGATACTAACAATTTTAGTTCAATTTTTAATAAAATTTATTTAATATTAATAGAAATCCAAGAGATTTGAAACCTCTTTTAGCGATTTATAACATTCTCAAATGAATTACAGGTGCCCTTATTTTCTATGAAAATCACACAGCTTTTTTCATAGTCGCTGCAGTTGCTATAGCTATAAAAAAATAATTTTTTAAGGTGTGAAAATTGCGACACACGCTAAATGGACTTGATTTTTCGTATGTCTCGAAGTCTGTGGACCTTTTTGTATGTCTCGATAACATATTGGTGCAGATTATTTTCACCCACACAAATAATAACCCAAACTATACATTGATGCGGATTGTCTATGAACTCTTTACGAAGGTCACAGAAACCTGAACGCGTAATTCGGTGTTCTTTCGCATCTGTTATAGGTAATTTGTGTCAATGGTACAAAACACAAGGGCGGCGGCAACCGCCGAAGCGGCTATAAGCGGCTAGAAACAAAGTGCCGAAGCCGCCGACTCCGCCGCTTATAAGCCGCCTTGTGTATCCTCAGCCTTAATTTAATTGTGGATATTTTAAAAACGAATTAAAGGTCTATGCAATTTCAATTAAAATACAAAGTTCATATTAAACAAAAATCCTAAGGCGAGTTTTCGCTTATCAGTCAGACTGATTCAGCGAGATTGAACGAATAATGAATGTAAAAATACAGTATGATCGAAAAAAAAAACGGCGTCATATGAAATAAAGATTGCCGTCAATTTATATTATATGTTAAATTATAAAGGGAATGCCATTCATTTCCAAGCCAACTTGACACCTTTTTTTTCGATCATACGGTAAGTGTTCAGTAGAACAGTGAACATTATTTCAGTGGGAGTAAAAGCTAGTTGTATTTTTATTCATTTTGAATGAACAATATACCGGGTGCGTCTCAAAAGTGGTTCACCCCTATAACTTTTTTTACTTTTGCAAATAAAATAACGAGATTTGGAGTGTTAGTATATGACATAAATTAGGATTGATTCAAGTATTCAATTGTTTTTGGTCACTTCCTGTTTCACCGGACATTACTACAACTTTTAATTTTTAAATGGCACCCCCGGTATATTTTTACTTTATTCGACAGAAAATGACACTTTGAATAGAATGACATATCATATGTCAATTTTTGACATTTTAGTTTAGAAAAATATTGTATTTTAAATTTCAATCTAGAGTGCCATGGCTCTTTAGCATATTTGGAAAAAGCATTTTTTTACGAATAATTTGATACCACACACTTGGTATTTCGAGTCAAATTTTTGTTATGAACCGCATGTTACAATTTCAAATAAACCACATGCAAAAATGTCAAAAGTTAACCTATGATATGTCATTCTATTCAGAGTGTCATTTTATATCGAATAAAGTAAAAGTATATCGAGGGTGCCATTTAAAAATCAAAAGTTCTAGTCATTTCCGGTGAAACAGGAAGTGACCAAAAACAATTGAATACGTCAATCAATTCTAATTTATGTCATATACTAATATACAAAATATCGTTTTTTTATCTGAAAAAATAAAAAAGTTATAGGGGATGAGCCACTTTTGAGACGCACCCGGTATAATCAAGGGTAAAGTTCACAATCTGATATGCTTCGTGACATAAAGTATGCGACTCCTTAGGTAGGATAGCAATTTTCATCGTAAACGACGATAAGCTGACCGGCTGATACTTAATAGGCTGTGGTCGGAACCAAACTTTTTATAATAAATTTGTTATTAAATTATTAATGAAATTTTGAATATTTGGTAAAATTGAATACTTACGAGTTTAATTTTGTTTCCAACGTGTCGTATACTAACTTTCTTCCAAATGATCTCACAGCAATCACTGGAGGATATTCATAAGTGGTCTGATTATCAGGTAATGAATAATAAGCTTCAAAAAATACTGCACCAAAAACATCAATATTTATATCTGTGAGTGGCCATGCAACAGCTGCGTACAACTAAAATATTAAAAGCAGCAGACAAGTTAAAAAATTCACAAATTTTGCAACATCCGCAACCATCATAGGCGTATTGAAAATACCAGACACAAGTCGGCGGTTGTCGACAATCACCTGTTTTTTTTTACATTTTATATTAACTTAATCAAGCTCAATAGAAATATAAAAGAACTAAACCTTGTTCGTTGGAAAGCAATTTGACATTCGTGACGTCAGCACTCCGGCAGTCTAACGTAAACGTATCATTGATCGCTATTCACAAATATATTCCAGATACGTATAGTGAACAAGTTTAACGTTCGCAACGTTAAATAATTTTGATATTTGATTTTTATCGTGATGGTTTTTTGTAAAAGTGAAGAATTTAGTGAGGAAAATATTAATGATGGATATGAACGTGTGCGGACTCGTGATTGGTCACGATCACGGTCACGACACTATGACGGGCTCCTATACCCACGTAGGAGCCCAAAATATGTAAAAAGGGGGCCAGTTTAGCTTAAGTTTAGATTAGGTATATATTTGTTATTAATGTAAAACCAACTAAAACCTAATTCTAATCTAACCTAAACTCACTTCTTCTTTTGTATATTTCGGGCTATTACCTGGGTATTCCTAGGTTTAACCAATATTCGAACTTAGGTGTAAATTTAAATTTATGGATGGCCCATAAATTTATATTCGCCGTACAAAAAAAAATACTTTTCACCAATTTTCACAATAAAAATTAAGTTATAAATCATAATATTTTTTTATAGAAATGAGGGAATAAAGGTGAACGGGGTGCCGGTAGACCAAGAAGATACTTGGAATGTAAATGTTAATTTATACTCGAATGGAGTTGCCTCACAGTATAGGCATATTTTGAATCCCTACCGTGCATAGTTATTGTAGATAAAAATAAATTAAAATATAGTTGGCTCCAACGATAATTTAGTTTGCAGCTTCTTTTCATCATACCTAATAAAAAACCGTCACAACTACTACTCATAGTATGTACCTATGTATTTTTAAACATCATTATGAAATTAAAAATACATAGGTGCCCATAACACACCCATAATATGAGTAGCGGTATTTTTTTTCGTTTCATCATAACGGATTTTGTTGTGCTGAAAATAAGCAGCAAAGTATATTATCGATTGCACAACTATACCTAGTTTACATTCAGTATGTCCAATTAATATAGAACATTATAACTATGCATACTTTTAAAAATTTGCTACCAATATATTTTGATAGTTGAGTTTTTGAAATTATTTGTTAGCTTCTTAAACAAAACAGACCCATAATAATTCAAATCTTTATCATTCAAGACTTCCAAGAATTATGAAGTAATCTCACGTCAAAATTTTTTTAAATTACTGCATGCCTTAAGTATTTGCAAAGTTAACAAAAATATTTCTTTGCATACCTCTTGCAATTAAAATATTTAATCCAATTTATCAGTTCTGCATCATATCCGAAATTTAGATTGTGTGTGACACAACGAAGAGTTAAAGTGCAACGTGAACGACCAGAAAAATATGAAGTAAAAAAAAATGGTTAAATTTTAATTACTAGTTACACAGTCCCTCCCTTGAGTTCTCTTGCCTAAAATCTATATTGTCTTTCCTAACATTTTAAATATAAATGATTGAAACTCATACAAGTTTACCATAATTTAAACTTAAGATATAGTCCCTAATTATATTAAAATATAACACTTACGAAGTTAATAAATATTAACTATTTCCACTTATTTTTAATCATTTAATAATTCTGATAAAAACACACTTGATTTTTTTATTTTAGAAACCATACGGGCTATAATAATTAATATGACTATATTAACAATACTTAAATTAAAATTTATTTGAAGGAATGCTACTGTATTACAATAATTGTAAAACACGTATGTAATAATAACTCGGAATAATATTATATTTATTTAAAACTGCTCATCGCGTTATCAATGTCGGCGTCTTGTCACTTTTATTTAGTCTTATCAGTATTATTTTATTAGCCGTTTAGGTATAGTTTGATTTCAGATAATGCAGATTTTAATGTGCCATTTGTGGTTTTTTTATTGTATTTTTTTGCATATTTGGTATATTCTATGAAGTGATTTTAAGTGCTCCTAACCATTTTTCAATTATTAAAGTGCCTATTTAGATACATTTAAAATTAATTAATTAGTGTATATTATTTGTATTATTGTATTATGAGTTTGTTTATTTTTTATGAGATGTATTTTTTCCCATTAAAATAAACATAGCTTACTAGATCACTAGCTAGCCATTTTTAAATACAGGGTGTTAATTAAGTATCTGGCCAAACATCAGGAGGTGATTCTTTGAGTGTTTTAAGGCAAAAAGTTCATATTAACATGTGTCCGGAAATGTATAATTTTAAAGATACAGGGTGTCAAGGTGTTTTCTAATAGACCTTTTTTATTAATATCCCAAAGATCCGTTGGCTGATTTTGTTGAAATTTCGCCATGTTGTGAACTTTGATAAGTTAGCACTAATTAAATGATAATTATTATTTACAACAATATTCAAAGGATAAAATCTTATCCCAATAAATATTTGGCAACGCCTTGGATTCATGTGTTTTTACGCCTGGCGGTGGAAACCATGCAAGCTTTTTCTTTGGCCTAAGTTGTTAATTAAAAAAAATAATAATCATAAAAAATATAGGTCCTAATAGCCTAAATTTTAGCAAAATGTATCAGCAGATCCGATGAGATCCGAGTTATTATGTTTTGGAACTTAATGATTTAATTAATTATTCCCTTTAATGGCTAATATCCTAATATGCCTAATATCCTAAATGCCTAATTCCCTAAATAATTTACCTATCCTCCGCGCCAAGAAAAAATATTGCATTAGTCTAAATTTATTATTTATGTGATTCCACTCTTTCACGTATCATTTTCCCCTTGCTTCTCATAGGGAAAGAGTTAGATTAAAATAGCGAAACTGTACCTAACAACCCATATGCCTTGACGCATATTCTTTTTTATAATAATATGGGCTTTCTTTATCCGCCGGCCCAGACAAACATCCATATCCATAAAATACCTAGTTAGCCCACACACACACACACACTGATAAATTAATAAGACCTAATTTCGGCCCTCAAACGTCCTTGGTCTATTCGATGAACACCGCCGGCTAAACTATCGACTTACATGTTGACAAGTTGATTAGGCAGGTTATTGAACTCGTGTAGCATCGAACATGTCGTTTTTTCAAAGATGGGTCCCATATAAACGCGGCCAGAAGTATTTTCAATACTAAAAATTGGTCAAGTGCGAGTCGGATTCGCGCACGAAGGGTTCCGTACCATTCATCTATAATCTATACTAATATATAAAATCCTTAAGTGACTGACATACTGATTAATCACGATCCTGCTCAAACCACCCAACGTAAGAAGCTCAATTTTGGCATACAGGTTGATTCTAGGGTGTAGAGGTTCGATAAGAACGGATTTTTCGAAATTCCAGTTCCAAGAGGGTGAAACCACCCCTCAAATATTACAATATTTTTTTTATTTAAAAAACGGTCAAGTTTCTGAAAAAACGCTTAAACATGTATATTTTATTTTGTTTTTTTATATATTTTAAGATTTTTTAAAAATGTATACAGAGTGTTTCGAAAAGTCTGGTCATTGATTAATCACGATCCTGCTTGAAGCGCTTGACGTAAAAAGCTGATTTTTGGAAAACAGATTGACTTTAGGGTGTAGAGGTTCGATAAGAAGGGATTTTTCGAAACTCAAATTCTAAGGAGGTGAAACTATCCCTCAAATATTAAAATATTTTTTATTTATAAACCGGTGAGTTTTTCGGAAAAACTCTTAAACACGTATATTTTATTTTGTTGTTTTATATATCTTAAGATTTTTTATAAATTTATACAGGGTGTTTCATAAAATATGACCATTGAGTAATCACGATTCTGCTTAAACTGCTTGACGTTTAAAGCTGGTAAAATTTTTGGCAAACGGATTGACTGTGGGGTGTAGAGGTTCGATAGGGGGGGGGGTTCTCGAATCTCAAATTCCAAAAGGGTGAAAACGCCGCTCAAATATTACAATATTTATTATTTAAAAAAAGGTTAGTCTTTCGGGAAAAAGCTTGGACAAGCATAATTTATTTGGTTTTTTACATATTTTGAAATTTTTTAAAAAACTCTGCAGGGTGTTCCAAAAAGTTGGGTAATTTCTTAACCACAATTCTGCTTAAACTACTTGACGTAAAAAGCTTATTTTTGGCAAACGGATTTTTCGAAAATCAAATTCCAACTAGATGAAACTACCTCTCAAATATTACCAAGTTATATAATAATATCGTCATATTGTTTTTTCTCATGCTGACATACATGAATGTGAGAAAATTTTATCCAGTTTGTATGTTAATGGAAATTCTTGCTTTGCTTTATCATCACCATTACAAATGACTAATTGGACGCGAACGAAGTCGCTGGTACACGCTAGTTATCTATCTATACAACATTAGACACTATAAACTTTTTTTCCGATTTAGCTGAAATTTTGAATCCGCGTATAAATAATTTAAAAAAATGAAGAAACACACAATCAATAATAAATATGTAAAAAGTAAAAATAAATATGTAAAAGTATGTAAAAAATAAAAAAAAACGATTAAAAAAAAGTCGCCTTGACTAGGATTCGAACCTACCTTACTACGGCTCCAACGTCATAGCAGCGTAAAGTCCTAACGCTTTAACCAGGCGCACAGTGGGGTATTTGACACAGATAGTTGATCGAAATTTTTTTATGTAGACCTTATATAAATTATTGCTATTTTCATTTAAAGAGGAAATAATATGAACAAAATAAAGGATAATTCGTCGATTCTAAAAAAAGAAAGAAAAATCACTGTTCCAGTGTTTCCACGGTCAATGCCACTAATGCCAGTAATAATATCGCAACTAATACTACTAATGCTACGACTGATCCGCGAGCAATGCCCATACCACTAAAGTCGCTACTAATGCCAAATTGTGTTATACTGCTAATGGCACTAATGCGATCGCTTTGTACACAACAATGCCATCGCGGTTTACACCTCTCATTAGTATATCACTGATTGGCAAATTAGAGGAAACCAAGAATGTTTTTCTCATTTTACCAGTAAAGTCGCAAAAAGTTGCAGTATTTTATTTTACTGTATGAAAGCCCAATGTTTACTAAGTAAAACGTATATAGACAATATGCTGAATTCTTCGAAATACGCAACTAAATCTCTAAGTATAATAAAAATGTCACAAATTTAATCAAATTTTCTGAACGCCTAACTTTAATTTGCAAAAAAAATCGTTAGTATAGAGAATATCAAAATAAATAATACGTTTTTGTAGAATACATACCTGCAGCTTGCTGAGCCATTTTCAATCAAAACAATAATATAAACGTAAAAAGAGCACAAGAACAACAACAATTTATAATTTTAAACATGAAATTTAGCCATTTACCTCTTATCTGTGAGAAGTAACAACTTTGACGTTTTGTTGAAACAAATGAATGCAACTAAACACATTTATAAACACACCCATAGCAACGCCATTGATGGCAGAGATGATTTAACTTATCATTTATCTTTTTTTGGGAAATCTTAAACACATTTGCTTTTTCGAATTTCGATCACCTTTTTCATGCTAATACCACAGATAACACATAATCTTATATAGATAACATATAGAAGATATGATTATGTGTTATCTGTGCTAATACCCCACCGTGAGGCGGCCACCGAGGAATTGCAAGATTCTATGTAAAATTCTTACTTAAAAGATAATGTTTAGTGAAAGTACTTTTTTATTTATAAACATTTATTTAATTCTGTTCTTAGTATTTGTTCTTATAGCGGCAACATAGATACATTATCTGTAAAAATTTAAACTGTCTAGCTATAACGGTTTATAAAGATAGACCTTTGTGACAATAAATTGTAGTACTATTCAATATTAAACTCCATTGAAAAGAAGAAGCAAACGTAAAAGCAGAGAATAGGTACATTAAAAATGCATAAAAGATAAATTTTATAATAGAGGCATTGGAATTTAGAAAACGTCAACATTTGACGTTTCCAGTATTTTACCAAACCGTTCCGTATCAAACCGATGTTTTTCAGGAACCGCTCTTTACCGTAGTTTACCGGTCTGGTTCGCCTGGTTTTGCAATGGAATACAGCCTTTAATAGGGTTCTCGTTTACCATTTGGGTACGGAACCCTAAAAAGAATCGTCTAATAGGCGACAAAAGTGTACTAGATGTATTAATTCCATAGAACATTACTTTTATAAAAAAAAACTTAAAAAAAATACATACCCCCATTCCAGACTCTTCTGGGAAATGATACTTCCAATTTGTTACATTGTATGTGTAAATTTCTTGAACAAAACAGATTATCATAAAAACAACCCATTTAGATTTATGCCAATAGTTTAATAAATGTGAGTACAAGTGACCGCAAATATGCATTATTTTATCGACATCAGTTGCGTTTTGTGTGTTTTGTCAAATTGTGAACAGCTTAATAGAAATCCGTTAGAAATATAGAACGGTATTTGGTATTGGTATAACAGATTTCACATATACATGATGTCAACAAGAAGACTAAGAATTATTGTTTGTTGGACATTAAGTTTTATGAAATTGTCACATGTCACATGGAGTAAACAAGCAGAACATAATTTAACTGAACAGACTCTATACATTATACAGGGTGTAAACACACCAGTAAAAAAACAGAATGTAACCAGTAAATATCTACAGAATGTTGTTTAAAATCTTAGTTTCATTTTGTTAATGAATAGAAATTGTAAAAAATATATAGTTCAAAGAGTTCAAACCAGGATTGGAAAAAAATTAAGTTTTAGGGGACTTAATGGTAGCCTATATGGTAGTTAGAGCACAGAGAGATGATAGATGTTCGAAAAAAGGCACGATATATTAAAGAAAAAAAAATGAAATGAAGATCGCTGTCATTTAATATGTAAATTTATATGTTGAATGTCATATCCATGTCATATCGTCATTTCCCAACCAAATGGATAACGCTTTTTTTTCGATCATACGGTAGTTAGAGTTTAGGTAGTTTTTCAAGTTACAGAGAATATACAGGGTGACTGGAGTGAGGATGTTTTTTTTCGCAAAAAAAATGTTTGAAAATCGTGCATTTTCTTTAAATTTTCCTGTATATTTTAGAAAATTCTTTAGTTTTAAACTTCCTGTTCACCGCAAATTTCTTAATCTCTGATATTACCATGGTAGCTCTATCTACTATGGCTTTACTCGATGGTTAGGGCACTAAAAGGGATGCAAACACAGAAAAAAATTGGATGGCTCTTATTTTTTTTTAAAAATTAGTAAATTTTCAAATTTGAATAACTCGGTTATTTTGGACTTATTTGAAAAGGGGTAAAGAGAAAAAATGTTTCTTTTCACGCGTCTTGAAAATATTTGCACTTATTTTAGACTCACCCTGTATAATGCAATTGCGTAGCCATAATGCGTAGCTAGTAGCTATACAGGATTATTCACCTCATTCGGAGTATTATTGTGACCAAATGATAATGGTTAGATTTTTAGAAATTGTGAGTGATCGGATCGTTGAGTACTTCTAAAGCTAAAATTTAAAATTATATTCAAAAGGCACAGAGTGCGTCCCAAATAAATAAAAAAAGTTGTATTTTTTTAAATAGAACACCCTGTATATTGTTACATTCGTAGATTCTACGATTAAGAGCCGCGGGGGGGGGGGGCTACTGCTTTTGTTTTGCAAAAAGTGAAGAATAATAAAATAATAATATTAAAAAATAAACAATTTTTTTTTAAATAAAATTTTTACATGAATTTCTCTATAGACCCTTGATAGACTTGGTTATCATTCCGTGCTCCCGGAGAATGCTTAAATACCTAAAAATTCTGTAAAAAATAAATGCATCGATAAATGCTAACACACAGTTTTAGAACAAAACAAAATCTAGAAAAAGTAATTTTTACTACATCACAAGCAAATAAAAATAGTCAAGGGTCATAATTCATAATTTAGTCAAAATTGAAGATTGGGTAAAAATCACAACCTGCACTGGGCACGGCACTCCGGGCCCCCTGTTGTTACGCCTATGCTTAGAAGCTGTCGCAAAACAATGCAAAAATAATTAAAAAAAACTGCAAAGGGAATAAAAGCCTCCTGGTGACGTCACACTGAAAAAATAGTTTACAAAGAATATATAATACTGAGATCAGGGTTCGGAAATAGTTAATTGAGATGTAATTTACCTGATTAACAACGTATAGTTTTTACTGCAAAAACTACGTCTTTTCTTGTTCATTAACTACAGGAAAACTGTAGTATAATATATATATATATATATATATATATATATATATATATATATATATATATATATATATATATATATATATATATATATATATATATATATATATATATATATATATATATATATATATATATATATATATATATATATATATATATATATATATATATATATATATATATATATATATATATATATATATATATATATATATATATATATATATATATATATATATATATATATATATATATATATATATATATATATATATATATATATATATATATATATATATATATATATATATATATATATATATATATATATATATATATATATATATATATATATATATATATATATATATATATATATGTTAGATTTTATCTTTCACTTTTATTATTTTAAAAAAACATTAAAATACTTAAAAAACACTTTATTAATTTTTATAAAGATACAAAATTATTATATGAACTTCGATACGACACGGATACGAGTTGCGTTCGAGAGTTGTGCGTTGTGCGTTCGAGTTGTTCCTCCTGGGAAAGAGATCGGCTTAAATATTCTTAAAGTTGCTGAGTCTTCGCTTCCCATCATGGAACTGCGACTTGTTTACTGAAGAGACCATGGGAACATCGTAGTTGGAAAGATTCTCAAGAAACATAATATGATTGTTTATGAGTTATATTAGAACGAACTTATACGTTTAACTTTGGAATAAACAATGAATAACAATAAATAAGTATAAAGAGTAAATAAGGTCATTTGAAGGTTAAATATGGATATAACAACTCCCCTTTTAGATAAAAGTTAACGCGTGGAGATAACTTTTAGACTGAATTCTTGTTAGGATTAAGTTCAAAAGATTCTTCTTCAATAGGTTCTTCTAAATGGATACTGGGTCTTCTACGAGGCAGTATTTTCTTCCATTTGGAGAAAGTGGATTCAACTTGATTTCTTGGAGGTGATGGTGGGTAGTCATCATGAGAAATTGCAATTCCAATTCGTGATCTTCTACGGGATTTGCATTTGCAGAAGATGTAAATCAGGACCAAGGTGACAATTACAATTATGGTTAAAATTGTAAACCAACCATGGTGTTTCTTCACAAAAGGTTCATTGATGAAATTGTTCAATTGTTCGGAATATTCATTTAACTTGTGATTTGCAACACTCAAATCTTCTAGATTCAGTTTGCTCAATTTCAGTGGTTTCAGATTTGGAATCTTGATCTTCTCAGGAATATTACTGCAACAACTATATGGTATTTGAATTGGAAAAGTATTGTATGTTACATTATCATAAACATTAATGTCTTTTTGACCTTGAATTCTTGTACTGCCAACAAAAGCAATACATTCACTTTGTAACTTTAAAAGAGTATTATTATTTAAGATTTTTGTAATAATGTCTCTATTTCCACATTTAATTGTTAATGGTAAAGGATCTGAGATAATTATTAACCAAAAGTTTAAATTTAATTTGTTTATGTTATATTCTTTTGCCATGATCAAAGAAGATTGACAGGTTCTTGGCAGGTGATCTTGTTGCTTCAATAGTTGAGCTTCACATATAGCATCACTATCGATTGGATATGGAAATATGTTGGAACAAATTCTTGTTTTTCTGCCTGTTGATTTGCAAGCTTCTGGATCTTCAATTATTATGTACAACAATGAATCATCGCTACGCGCAATATATTTATAAGTTGTACTTAAGATATGATGTAAAGCAGTACGATGATCTAACAAAGGAATTGGATAAATTCGATATAAAGTATACTCTTCAGGTTCAACTAAAGGTATATTTAGAACAAATACTACTTTAGAATCTAACTGATAAGCTTTCAATTCAATAATGTCTAGATACTGAGGTATCGATGTGGCAGAAATTGGTAATGGAAGATTATTTCTCTTTAATGATTGAGATATATGCTTTAGCGAGTCAACCAAGTCATTTGGAGTAATTATAGAACTGTATGCAATATTTTTAATCTTGCAAAAGTTAGTGAATTTATTATATCATCAATTTGATTTTCTAAAAAGGTATAGCTTTCCATAAGAGATTCACAAATATTTAAAATATCAATTTGTGATTGGAAATAATTTAATTGATCTGAAATGTCCATTATTGATTTTCTTATTTCTTTTATATCATTATTAAAAGTCTCTTCATCGATTTGTAATTTTTGAATTGTAGAATTAAAACTTTTAATTATAGATGTCGTTACAGATATTTGATTTTTAATAAGTTTTCTATTTGATATTCATCTTTAGTTATTTTATTTATACAATCATTATAATATTCACCATCAGAAGCATCTAAATTACCGGTTATTGATTTCCATACTGTCCCAATGCCATTAAATATACCACGCTTTTCTCTATAAATATACTTATTCGTATCGCGTATTATTTCATTATATTTTGTATTAATTGATCTTGATATTTGTAATAAAAGACTTATATGCGTTTTAACTTCTGATTTAAAAGCTATCATTCGTGGTGCATCTTCTTCTAAAGTGTTTAAAATATTATCTAATATTATATCATTATTTAAAATAGTATTTTTAATTAATTCTAAATCTTTATAAACTAATAGTGTCCATTTATCATTGGATACTTTTATTTGTCCGTCTTCATGTAGGTACACTCCGACTGTATTGTTGATTGGTGTAATAACATACTGGGAGTATATATGGATAGTAGTAATCCAATAAATCTGAAAAGAAATTATTCGTGATTAACCATATCACGATTAAATTAAAACCAATTTAATTAAACCATTTTTTTTTTCAAAACAAAATTAATTTTAGATGTTTGAGTCTCAGGGTAATTCTATTAAACCGGCAAAATTTTTAAAAAAATTTCTTTTTCAAAATGTTCGTTAAATATGTTTTGATTCTTACTCTGTGAAAATTTATCTTGTGATTACGATAATAATCTAGTATTTGAGGTTTTTCATCATCTACTGGAGTTCTAACAATATCTTGACAAATTGTTAATTTAATTTCTTTCGTGAAATCTGCGAAAATATAAGAAAATATTTTTAATATTGGAAGTTCTATTTGATTTTCAACGTAGTACGTTTCTGCTAAGTTAAATTCATTTTGTTCTTTATATAAAATATAAAATAAAAGAGAAACTACTGTAGTTGGATCAAAATCGAGAGGGATTATATAGTATTTCCTGTTTTTAACAGTTTTACTATTAAAAATATTTATTCTTTTTAAATGAAAGTCTGGATTTTCTTCTAATATGTCGTCAATTATTTTATGATGAAATTCTTGTATTTTATTTTGCCGAATACATTCTTTTGGCATTATATTTTTATGTTGTTTATCTAATAATTGATTATTAGTAATATTTATTTTTGAATAATCAATTAATGATTGAGAGTCATATAAAGTGACAAATTTATTATATTCATTTTTAATTATATCATTGATATCAATATCATTATCAGAATCTTCATTTTCAATTTCTTCATTTTCATTTTCATGTTCACTATCAGGTGTATTTTCGTTTGAGGCAAAAATAGGAAAATTTGTTTTTGAAATAAATTGTGCGCATTTTTTGAAATTATTGATTTTAATTCTATATAAAGCATCTGCATTTTTATTTGCTTTTCCAGATTTATGAATAATTTTGTAATCATATTCTTCGAGTTTTAAACGCCAACGAGCTAATCTGCTGCCAGGGTCTTTAATAGAAAATAACCATGTTAAAGGGCGATGATCTGTTATTAAAGTAAATTTACGACCAAAAGATATGGACGAAAATGTTTAACTGCCCATACGATTGCCAAAAGTTCACGCTCTATAGTGGAATATTTTGTTTCAGCGCCGCAAAGGGTTCTAGAAGCAAAAGCAATAGGTAAATCTTTTCCTATGTGTCCTTGTGAAAGAACGGCTCCTATAGCAAAAGCACTAGCATCTGTTGTTAATAGGAAAGGTTCTTCAAAATTTGGATATATCAGAATAGGATTTGAAGTCAAAGAATTCTTTAATTCTTCAAAAGAATCTAAACAATCCTGATTAAAAATAAATGGAACATCTTTTTGCAAAAGTCTTGTTAAAGGCTTTGATAATTTTGCAAAGTTTGAGATAAATCGACGGTAATATCCAGCTAAGCCTAAGAAAGATTTTATTTCTTTCGGATTTTTGGGTTGTGGAAAATTTTGAATACATGAAACTTTTTCTGGATTGGGTTTAACACCTTCTGGAGTTATTAAATGTCCTAAGTATGCAACTTCTTTTTAAGAAATTCACATTTATCTGGTTGTATTTTAAGATTTGCCTTTTGTAATCTTTGAAAAACTTCTTTAAGTCTGGAAATGTGTTCATGAATAGTTGGAGAATAAATTATTATATCATCCATGTAAACTAAACATCTTTCATTTTGAATTCCTAATAAAATATTGTCCATGACTCGTTGAAAAGTCGAAGGGGCATTTTTAAGTCCGAATGGCATTCTGACAAACTCGTAATGACCATTTTCTACAGAAAAAGCCGTTTTGGAAATATCTGAAGGATTGATTTCAATTTGATGAAATCCTGAAGCAAGGTCAAGTGTTGAGAAATATTCACATTTACCTAACTGATCTAAAATATCGGAAATATTAGGTAAGGGGTACTTATCATCGATTGTAAGTTCATTTAACTTCCTATAATCAATAACAATACGCCATTTCTGTTTTTAGAAGCATCTAATTTTTTGGAACAATCCAAACTGGAGAGGACCAAGGAGAAATTGAAGGACGAATAATACGTTGCTTTAACATGTTACTGATTTGTGTTCTAACTTCTTCTTTGTGTATTTGTGGGTATCTGTAAGATTTAGTGTATATTGGTTTAGCATTGTTTGTATCAATTGAGTGTTTAATTTCATTTGTAAAAGTTAAGACATCATTTTCTAAGTAGAAAATATCTTGAAATTCGAGACATAAATTAGTTATAAGTTCTTTTTCTTCATCATTTAAATGATCAGTCCTAAGTTGTGATTTTATTGTTTGAATTCTATCAGTTTGATTTGAATTTGGAAAATAATTATTTGTTTGATAATTTTTATTTGTTTGATAATTTAAAATTGTTTGTGAAATGTAAGGTTCAATTTGAATATCGGAAAAATTAATTGATTTTGGAATAGCTTTACAATTAATTATTGATGTCAAAAATTCTCCATGTTCATTAACATGAACTAACGCATTTGGAATATAAACTTTTTCTTTGTCTTGTTTAGATAAAATTGCATCAGTATTTTGTAAATTACATTTTAATTTAAAAATTTGTTCTGTTCTTCTATTAATATTTATTTCATTTTTAATTTGTTCAGAATTTAAATTTTGTTCTCTCAGTGTATCTTCAATTTTAAATAAAGGTACCGTTTTAAAATTTGTTATCAATTTTCTATTTTTTAAATCAACTGTGCATTGATAATGTTCAAGGAAATCTGATCCTAAGATTCCGTCAAAGTCTATATCTAAGTTGTAAATAAAAACTTTGTGAGGATCATTTGTTTTAAAAGGAATTAAAGTAGACTGAGTTATTAATAATTTCTCGTTAGTAATTCCTTGAATTGAAATATTTTCTGGTATTCTTTGTGGATATTTTTTTAACTGTGTTTTCTTTAAAAATTGAAATTCCTGCACCTGTATCAATTAATATTTTGTATGTGTTTGTTATGTCATTAATGTAGTATAAACTTTTAATGTCTACAGTGAAAAAAGGTTTTAAGTAAATTTCTGTTCTTGGGATTGATTCGTATGGTTTAAATTCAAAGTTTGAAAATTCGTTTGAATTTCGTTTGTGTCCGTTTTCTGTGTATCCGGAGGATGGTTTTGGTCGGAACGCAAATGAAAATTTTGCTGTTGAGCATTATCGTAGTTTTGATAGTCATCATATTCTTGCTCAGAGTAATAATTTGAATAATCTTGAGAATTTGGAGAATTATCATAAAAGTAACCATTTGAAAAATTATCAGAATAATTTTCAGAATAATTATTTGAGTAATTATCAGAATAATTGTTTGAATATTCATTTGAATAATCATAAGTTGAATAATCTTGATTTATAAAATGTGCTCTGTGATTATTATTATTAAAATTAGGATTTCTTTGAATTACCGAAGGGCGTTGTTGAATTACTGAAGGGCGTTGTTGATTGTTTGAATTATTTTGTTGAAAATATGGTCTTTGATTAACATTTTGACTTTGTGTAAAATGTTGAGGTTGTCTTTGAAAATTATTGGTATTTTGGGGGTTAAAATGAGTATAATTATTATTATTCATTTGTCTTGCACGACATAAATCGTCTCTGGATAAATGTCCTAAACGTCCACAAGATGTACACTTTGGTGGTGACAAATTTGGTCTTTTAATAGGTTGATTTTGTGGAAATCTAACTGTATTCAATTTATTTTGTTTCTGATTTTCAAAATAAGAAAGTTGTAACTCTCTTCGAATACGAATTTGAGCTTCGATAATGTCTTTTGGATTACTAGCACGAATAATATGTCCTATACGTGGGTCTAATCCTGTTAATAATGTATTTAATGCCATAGATTCGATTAAACAAATTTGTGCTTGTTTTTCATTATTTGTTAAACTGGATTTTTGAATATTTGCATGCATTTTTGCATTAAGAACTTGCACTCTGTTTAAAAATATTAAAGGCGATTCATTTGGTAGTTGTTTAACTCTTTGTAGGTCTTGAATTAATGATGATAAATCTCTAGTATCACCAAAATGAGAATTTAAAAGTTGTTTAATTTCAAAATACGAAGATGGATTTCTAGAATTTATTAATTGGGCTGCTCTACCTCTTAGTTTATTTTTAATATGAATAACTAATAAGAGTTTCTGGTTACCGGTTGACATGCCAAAAGCACAATCACATGCATTTAGAAATGTTTGTAAAAATATTTGATCTCCGTCAAACTCTGGTATTATTGAAAATATTTCAGATAGTTTGTATGGTTCTATCTCTGGTTCATTATTCATTTCTGATTCAGACATTTTTATTTTTTATTTTTAGTAAATAATAATAACTAAAAAAAAATATTTTATTTTTTATTTATTTTATTTTTAGTAATCGATTAGCAGAATAATCGATTTATTTTAAACTTAATTAACTTAGTTAACTTAGTTAAGAGAATAACGAGGTTAAATTAAATTAAATTAAAATAACCCTTTGTTAAATAATCGTATAAGAAAATATCTTATTTTTTTTATTTTATAAACGTTTAAATAAATTCTTTTTCAAAATATTTTTTTTTTCAAAAAAAATAACACTAAAATAAAACGTAATGATTCGTTGTGTACTTACACTAATTTTCCAAAAACCATGCTTTTGTCTTGTTCTCAAAGGAGTTTTCTACCAGGGGTTTCACTAGGTGTTCCTAATCCGTAGATCTGCCTATGAGTGAGGACGCCAGATGTATTTTTGTCTTCTTTCTTGATTTTTCTTTCTTGATTTTTCTTAATTTTCTTTCTTGATTTTTCTTAATTTTCTTTCTTGATTTTTCGTAATTTCTTTCGCTTGAAGGATTGGAATCCACCGTTGGTAGTTAGAATACTCGTGTTCTACCGACGTTTTGTGAATATCCTACCGACTGCGCCAATTGTTAGATTTTATCTTTCACTTTTATTATTTTAAAAAAACATTAAAATACTTAAAAAACACTTTATTAATTTTTATAAAGATACAAAATTATTATATGAACTTCGATACGACACGGATACGAGTTGCGTTCGAGAGTTGTGCGTTGTGCGTTCGAGTTGTTCCTCCTGGGAAAGAGATCGGCTTAAATATTCTTAAAGTTGCTGAGTCTTCGCTTCCCATCATGGAACTGCGACTTGTTTACTGAAGAGACCATGGGAACATCGTAGTTGGAAAGATTCTCAAGAAACATAATATGATTGTTTATGAGTTATATTAGAACGAACTTATACGTTTAACTTTGGAATAAACAATGAATAACAATAAATAAGTATAAAGAGTAAATAAGGTCATTTGAAGGTTAAATATGGATATAACATATATATATATAATTATATATATATATATATATATATATATATATATATATATATATATATATATATATATATATATATATATATATATATATATATATATATATATATATATATATATATATATATTCTTATTATATATATATATATATATATATATATATTCTTATTACGATAAAAAACAATCTTATAAATAAAAATGTTCATTTTGATGAAACATGTAAGGTATATTTTTATTTAATTAAAGAATTATCAATTCGCATAAAAAAACAGAATATTATGAATAACACATGAATAACACTTATTCAAAGGAATAACACAATATTGTGACAGCTTAGTATATTAAAATTATTAGATATAGAATACAAAACCTCTAAAAAATTAAAAATAACCAAGTCACAAACATAAAATATCATAAAATTTTAATCACCTAGCCAGTAATCTTTTTCAAAACTTTGTAGAAAGTATGTTTTTCATTTCCTCTGTACGAGCGGTGTAAATAATTTTTTGACGCAATACTATATTTAAAGCCATATTTCCTCACTTTTCTAAAGCTCCAACTTATCTTTAACTTGTACGTCGATTAACTACATGTCATGTAGTTTATGTAGTTTTTAAGAGTAACATGTAGTTTTCCGAACCCTGACTCAGACACCACTCTAATGCTATGCCACTCTCCTTGCCCACTCTATAACATTTAATGCCCGTGGGTTTCGTCTGGAATTGACAGTTGTCAGTTATAGTATCACCCTCTATGGTACGGATAACCCTGGATAACCAAACTTTTAAACATAAAAGAAGCCTGCAAATTTTTTGATCTGTTGTTACTTTTAGTCGGTAGATGTCACCAGATTTTGACAGTTGTTAGCATGGAAACGAGCCATTTCGGAAATAACATATGTTTGTGATTCAATGCGGGCTGTCTGCAATCTCCACAAGAAAATAGACACCGGCCATCTTTTTAGAAAACAGTGTTTGATTAATATCCTTATCAAAATTAAATCAGTTATTAATGTCAGAACCACAGTCCGCCTTATTACTTAGAAAACAACTAGCAGGTTAGTAAAAATTTTATTGAGGAATAATGAAAACATCACAAAATGAACCCAAAAATGTCGATGGCTCTGATAATAAAAAGAATTCATTCTGCTTCGATCTTTTTTTGTCTGCTTGAACGTTTGATTTTAAAAATAGTTTTTTGAGCTTGTTTCAGAGAATAATAACTGTTTTCGCATACTTTTTGTACAGGGATTTTTTTGGTGGTTTTGTGGTAATCAATATTAATTTTTTTTTTATGAAAGCATTTCCTGATTTTGGTTTTGTCTCTAAATGTTCATATTAGCTAGAAATTATATTTGAAAACAAACACGTGAAATACTTGGAGATTCTCCAAATTAAGATTCTCTCGTTTTTTATAAGCTATACTTTCATTTGTGTCCAAAAGTTTTGCAACCTTCATTAGAAATTCTAATGTAACAAAATATCAGTATAATTGAGCAATATTTCCTGTAAGAAAGTTTTTTCACTTTACAAAGCTTATAAACCTTTTGTCTTTTTCCTAGCTTGGAAGAAAATTTTCGACCTTGAAGTTACTTTGTTTATATTTTCTTGTATATGTTAAAGTTTTTATATTAAGGTTATCTTAATAAGGCACCCAGCACCCCAACAGATTTTTATCATAATTAGTTTAGCTCTTTTGTAGTTCTTTGTATTTAGGAATTGGAATAATAGTATATACCTATTTTATTAAATTGAAAAATTGATCAAGAAATTAAATACGTTTATTTATAAACAACACAACAATGTGGTGTGGCGAAAAAACAAAATAAAAGGCTTATTTTAGTCTTATAAGCTTAAAATTAATCATAACTTTGTTAAATTGAGACTGCTAATGGGTCATTAACCTTAAATTTTTTGACATATGAAACTTATTTCAATTAAGTATCTTATTTATTAGAGATTAATAAGTTATTAGTATTTGTCAGTTATTGTTAAATTTGTTTTCAGAATTAAACAAGAACCCAGTTGAGGGTTTTTCTGCAGGCCTCATAGATGATAATGACATTTATAGATGGGAAGTTCTTATTATAGGTCCACCTGACACTTTGTAGTAAGTACTATACTGTACTATACCTACCTATTTAATTATAATTGTTAAATATGTACTAATTATTATTTATTTAAATTTATAGTGAAGGAGGTTTTTTCAAATGTCATCTCTACTTTCCGAAGGAATACCCTCTTAGACCACCGAAAATGAAATTTGTTACAGAAATATGGCATCCAAATAGTGAGTGATTGTATGTAAACGGTGATATTCAGTGTTTAATTAATAATACATTTTCAGTTGACAAAAATGGAGATGTATGTATATCAATTTTGCATGAACCAGGTGATGACAAATTTGGTTATGAAAAAGCCTCAGAAAGGTGGTTACCAGTTCACACTGTAGAAACTATTCTGATATCTGTAATATCAATGCTGGCAGATCCAAATGACGAGAGCCCAGCTAATGTTGATGCTGCAGTAAGTTAAATTTATTAAATACTAGGACTACAAATATTGATATCAAATTTACTACTATGCACAGACAGTTGTCTATTATTTTAATTCAAGTTTTTATTTTATTTTCTATATTCTTTGTATATTGTCTTTGTGAAAATCTCTGAGTTGTGATGAAAAAATTTTATGATTAAGCTAGATTTGCATGTTGAAACAATGATAATTGTAATGGAATATTATAAATATAAGAATTTTGTTTAACTCAAAGCAATATTATTCATTCTCAAATGTATTAAAAAGAGATAAAAGTTAGGTTGATTCACATTCCTTCTATACAGTGTTGCTGTATTTTACATCAAAATTTCAAACCGCGCAAGTAGGTGTTTAGGAATAATGTTGCATCTAGGGTTGGAACTTTATTTTTCACAATTAGTTACTCATTTTACTACAGCTGTAATAAATTCTTAAACAATTGTCTAATAGAAATGAGCATTATTGAATAGCTTAGATATATTATCTTTGTTTATTATTTTATTTCTCGTACAAACTGGCAACACTGTATGTCGCTTTTTATTTTGTCTCTCTGTCAACCGGTTGTATATATTTATCTCTATCGTAGGCATTAAAGTACAGACCACGAAAATAAAGTAACCAGGGCTAGTAGTTTGGTCAAAATTGTACCTACACATCACATTTTTTCAGCTATATACACTGATAGATGCAAAAAAACGCAACGAAGATAATTTTGGTCAAATTTAAAGTGTTATATTTTTGTTATTTTTAGCCCTATTTTCATGAATTTTTTAGCAAGCTGTATATAATTATATCAACTTTAATTTGTAAACACAGTTTTTTATAAACTTTAGTATTTGGCATGACATTATACAGAGTTAATCGAGGGGTTGTTTTTTTACCCTAACTTTGACACACCCTGTGCAATAATTTCGTGTGTAAATTTTCTTGAAATATAATTTTAGGGTCAGAACCATGTCTCCTGAGCATTTTGTTTTTGGATCATGTCAATACATGCCTTGGTTAATTTTTAAGAGCGAAATGAACTTTTTGCGAATGAAAACAATTTGCAATTTTTTCAATTATAATTTATTTTTCAAGTTTTTTTTTAATAAGACAAGGCAGCTTTGGTGATTATTGTGAACTATACAGGTTGTTAATTTGTTCATTACTCGCGGCAAGAGCTTTATGGTTGAAATATGGCAACCTCGGCCATATTGGACGAGTCGGCAGAAAAATCAATAATGCATGCGTTCTCAATAGGCAGTGTTGCCATTCTGTTCCCCTATAAGTAGCTGTCAAGTTAACAACCTGTATACCTGTATACTACATACTACTATGAACTGCCCATCGTGTTCGACGTTTGGGAAATGCTTGGCTGGAGGGTTAGAGGTCGCGAAGCATTACCAGCTTCATTAAATGAACTTCACTTGGTCCTTAAAGAAGAATGGGAAAACATAACGCAATATGATATATGCAGCCTCAATGACAGTATGATCGGACGTATACAGGCAATTATATCAGCCAGGCGAGGCAATACAAAGTATTAGAGTATTTTTTGCAATTTTTTTTTCTGGTTGTATACTTTAGTATTACAGATGTTTTCCTTAATATCGTTAGTTCTGTTATCGTTATTAATGTTTATTAAAACCAGGACTGTATCGTTAGTCCTTAACGTTTTTTTTTTAATTTTGTATAGAATATCCGATGCAGCGTAATATGACGTTACGACAATAGTCACCAAAACCATCTCATCTTTTTAAAAAATTACATCATAAGTAATGATAACTGAAAAAATTGCAAATTGATCGTCATCAGTTCATTCGCTCTTAAAAATTGACCAAAGCATGCATTGACGTGATCCAAAAAACAAAATGCTCAAGAGACATAGTTCTTACCGTAAAATTGTATTTTAGGAAAATTTACCACGAAATTATTGCACAGGGTATTTTAAAGTTAGGATAAAAAAAACAACCCCTCGATTAACCCTGTATAATATGTCAATTACTAAAGTTGACAAAAAACGAGTTTACGAATTAAAGTTGATATAATTAATATACAGTTTGCTAAAAAATCATGCAAATAGGGCTAAAAATAACAATAATATAACACTTTCAATTTTACCAAAAATATCTCTATTGCGTTTTTTGTGCATCTGAGTGTAATTTTGCATTTTGTACAATGTTTCTTTACTAATTTGATGATATAACTTTTCAGAAAGAATGGAGAGAATCGTACTCAGAATTCAAAAGGAAAGTGGCCAGGTGTGTTAGGAAATCACAAGAGCAAGAAGAGTGTTAGTAGTGCTTCTAATTTATTATAAAAATAATAACTTTTTTAAAAGCAGCCAATTGAGATAAAATATTTTTTTTAATCAATGCAAATTCTTCGTTGTTTTGAATTTGAAGAAAACTCGCGGTTTTCAAGACTTCGGTGGCACAGTTTGAAGAGATTGGTCGTGTATTCTTATGATAAGTATGTATAATTTAATATTCATATTTTTTATATACTAATTGTGATAAATACGTTAACCCGTAATATTTCTGTGAATAGTTTGACAACAGTTTTCAGAAACTTCTGCTGTGCACTGCTCTGTTCAAACTGTGGCCTATTATTTTAATATAATTTTTTGTTTTACCTCTTATTTTACAGTTTTGTTTTGTTTAGCTAAGTATCTTTAAATTAATAGTGAATTGGATTTTGATCCAGAACATTTCAATAGCCATTGCTAGTAACTAAATATAAAAATTACTTAAACATTTATTATTCTACACTCACCGGCAAAAAAAACCAGCCAGTAAAAACTAGTCCCAATTTCAAAGTTTTTTTCTCGCGAACCACTCATTAGATTTTGATGATTTTTTTTAAATTGTAAATTAATTCCTTCTTAACGGATGCTACGTCAGAAATTTCTATTCCGAATTTATTTTGAGCATATACAGGGCACAACAATAAGACGAAGTTTTTTGCCCGAACTTTGTATCACCCTGTAGGGTGCAGCTGCTGTTGTAGTTATTGTTTAATCAAATCATATTGTAGCCTCGTCTTTTGTGAGCATTTTATTTTTTTAATCATGACATTATCTCTGTTTGTATTGGAGATACGCTGCTTTGAAACAAACGTCTCGTAAAAAGATTTAGTCCATAACTCAATATCCCAATTCACATGTAAACGCGCAAACTGAAGACGTGCTCGACGATGTCTTGGAAGTAGTTGGGGTCCTGTGGCAGGCCTCCTTGCAGACAAGCTGTTTTCTTTCAGTCTTGGTCGGAGTGTTCTCTCACTGACTGAGTTCTACGCACGGCTTGTTGCAGATGTTGATTCCGAAACGCCGTAATTCTACGATTTCGTAAAGTACTCAGGATAATAAAGCGTCAATTGCATTTGTCTTCCATTTTTTTCCGGAACCCACTCGCCTGGTGAAATTTCTCGTTTCCATATACCGATTCCAGGCATCCTGGACTGTTGTTCGAGGTATACCTAGGGTATCGGACACATAACGTTGACTTCGGCCATCCTCAATTAAAGCCACAATAGGAGCAACATCCGTCACAGATAATGGCATTTTTTTAATTTGACAACCGTTGTTGTCATATGCAAATATTCATAAATCCCTTTTCGTCTATGTCGCCTTGATCATTTAGAGATAAAACTTTCTGCCTGCGAAGCATTTTTCCGAGACGTTCGTTGCAGCGTATCTCCAATACAAACAGAGATAATGTCGTGATTAAAAAAACAAAATACTCACAAATGATGAGGCTACAATGTGATTTGATTTAGCAATAGCTACTACAGCTGCTACACCCTACAGGGTGTTACAAGGTTTGGGCAAAAAACTTCGTCTCATTGTTGTGCCCTGTATATGCTCAAAATAAATTCGGAATAGAAATTTCTGACGTAGCACCCGTTAAGAAGGAATTAATTTACAATTTAAAAAAAAGTCATCAAAATTTAATGTGTAGCTCTCAAGAAATCCAACTTTGAAATTGGGACTAGTTTTTAGTGGCCGGTGAGTTTATAATTATTATGAAATCACAAAGAGAATATTATAGATTCGAAATTTAGTTTTGCAAGTCATAAATAATTAATTAAACTGAACTTTATGAAGTATCATATTTAATAGAATTTGATACTTAATAATCAGAATCATAATTTTAGCCAGATTGCAATGTATTTTATGTTAGTAGTTTTAATTTTCTTTTAGAAAAGGTGAATTTTTGTATATATTGCAGAACTTAACCAATTATTATAACATGAATATAGTAGTATAACAGCTCCAACCTTAATGGTTGGTTTTATTTTTTAAATATTTACATTTAATCTTAATCGTTATTTTGAGACAATCATAGACAGACGGCTTGTACATAAATAACATAATAGACAAGGACACTTGAATTATTATGCATACAAGACCAGTTTAAAGTTTGAAATTTTTAAATGGTAATTATGACAAGACCACAAGATTATTTGGGACACATGCAGTCAAAGGAGCCATCGCTTCTGTATATCTATTGGTCATAATATTCAGTAAAAATTTGCAAGGTTTATGACTGCTCTACCTTTTTTACAACTTTAATCCTTTATATTTAGTACGAGAGCTAGCAACGTCGGAAAAACAAGTATTTTAAGACGTCTGGTTCTTTGATATATCTTTTACTATGCTCTCTAGAACAGCATGCGGCCCGTCTTGCTGACGGTAAATGTTGCGTTCCCTACTGCGCATTGAAAGAAGATCCTATATTTTTATTAGTCCTTTAAATTCTAGTATTGAATATAAATCGAACATGTCTCCATGGCGCAGTGCGTAGAGTTTCCGACCACGAACCGATGATTCAGAGTTCGAATCCCGGTCAGGGCAAAGACTTTTTTTTATTTTATTTTCGTTTATATTCTGATAGTAAAGCATTAAATATTTGTTTTTTTTTTTTAAATTGTCAGAATTATTTAATACTTTACTATCAGAATATAAAGAAAATAAAATAAAAAAAGTCTTTGCCCAGACCCGGATTCGAACTCTGAATCATCGGCTCCTGGTCGGAAACTCTACGCACTGCGCTATGGAGACATGTTCGATTTATATTCAATACTAGAATTTATAGGACTAAATTAATAAAAAATATATATCTTCTTCCGATGCGCAGTAGTGAACGCAACGGGTATCCGCAGCCAGACGGGCCGCATGCTGTTCCAGAGAGCATAGTAAAAGATATATCAAAGAGCTAGAGATCTTAAAATACTTTCTCGAAAACGTTGCTGACTCTTAGACTAATTTCTTTATTGAAAACTTAAGTTTCTGTAACTACTGTTTTCATAATATGATGCAAGCAATTTGACTGCAACTTATTCAATTCGTTATAAGCGCACATAATGTAAATACAATGCAATAGTATAAATAACAAGCATGTTACCTTTAATATACAAAAAAAATACGTGATTTTGTATTTGTTAAAAGAATTGTCCTGGGTCAAAATCAAATAATATTTTTTTTTTCATTCATTAAAACATTTTAGAAAACAAAAATTAAAATGGTTTTTGTGAGCGCAATCCTATTTAAATTATAAAATAAGCTAGTTTTAAAATAAATACCGTTCTTTAAAGTTTCTGCTATCATTTATTTCTTTTTGTTGTCAACTAGATGGTCTAAATTTCTATTGATTTAAGGTGTAATATCATTATGACTTCAGTTACAATTTAACTTTTATTTTTTCTAAAAATCTGCAATACATCATAATTTAATTTTTTCACAAATCTAAATTATTTTCATCAAAACTCAAATGTGACTTATAATTATTTCTTTAATTTTTTTTAGAATTTAAACTTCTATATAACGACGATTTTAAATTAAGCCAGCTATAAATATTTCAATGAAATTTTCAATACGAATTGTCTGTTAAAGATCAAGGCTTCTTTGATAATACAACTTTTTATCTGGCAACATTTCTAAATATTTCAGACGATTTGACGTTCTCAAATTATTTAAAATTACCAATTTTTTACAGTATTTATCTCTTCCTGAGTTTATTTGTTAATGTTACTTGAGTTAAGTTTTTTTTAATCTAAGAAAATATATAGCCCTTTGGTTCCAAAATTTTTTATAGATGTCATCAATCCATTTATCATTTTTTAGTTTTCATTTTATAATCATTATTTGTCTATTATTTTAAAATTAATTTTATCAGTTGTAAATAGGGTTTCCAATTTTCTAGATCAGGATCCCGGGATAAGGACCTATAATAGATATTCATTGATTTAGTGTAGGTACGTACATATTTCTCTTGCCCTTAAGAACTTATATAGAGAAACAAAAATTACTTAAATATATTTAAAAAATTGTAATCTTACAAAGAAAGAAATAAGAACCAAGGGGTTAATAGATTCTTTTCTAGCAACACTAACATAATATGCACTTTTTACTATATCATCTTAAAATGTTTTTTTTCTGGCTTACAGTCATTGGATGTCTGAATGAATAATATTACTAAAATTGTACAAATTATACTATACGATTGAAAAAAACGGCGTCGGAGTTGGCTTAGACTAATGTAATCGATCGTCATTTCCAAGCCAACATGACTTTTTTCAACCATAGAGTATTCTCTATCATACAAAATCATAAATTTCTATTAAATTTGGAGGACATATTTTCTAATACGTTTTAATATAATTTTAACAGATTTGTTTTCCATATTATCTATGATTTTTCTAGGAAAGAACCTATATCCAACTAAAGTCATCGATATTACAAACTCACAAGTTAGATTATTTTTTATAATTTCGTTAGATTGTTGAATAGACATCAGTTACATTATCTTTATCGGCCATGTTGACATTACAATACTTTGTTAACGATTTTTAATTAATTATTTCTGATTTAGGCTGCATAAAAGACTAATTTCTATCAAAATGCGGTGGCCAAATGAACTCTTATAAGTTTCACATTTAACTACTTTGTTGATTGTGATAATTTCCTTATTTTGTTATTATTTTTATACCATTCAACGAGCTTTTTGTACACCTTTGTTAGAAGAACTTATCTTACAGTTCATTTTTTTTAAATTAGTAATTTGGATAATTCAAGATGTGTTCCCTAATTTTATTTTATGTTTTAAATACCTAATATTAATTTATATTATAGTTCTAAAACAGCAATAGATATCCCTATAATTACATACTGTTTTATTTGTAGTTAGCACTGTCCTAAAAAAGCAACATATTTTGATATCAATTAAATGTTTAGTTACGTAATCGAGGGCGCGATTTTTAAATTCATTGTTGCCAACCATGGAGATATTCGGCGCGGGACTGACTAACTGAATTTCGCGCTGAGGATTCAGGTGGTAGCTCTGCTGTAAAAGAATGTCAAGTTGCCACATATATTTTATTATTAATAATATTACAAAAATCAACAGTAGCATATTTATTTATTTCCTGACATTAGAGAGATATCGGTAAACCGAATAGCGTCATGCAGTATTTACGCGTACCTTATTTTGACAGTTACAATATGCGCGAGTCAATTTTTAACGCAACGCCCGCTAATAACGTTACCACCTAACGTAATTTGCGGATCAATTACACCACGCTATTTCTAAATAACGTTTAAAAATTGCTTAAATGGGCATGTACGGGTATTTAACAACCGGGGCCGGCCGGCGAGATCTTTTATTTTAGGTTATGTTTGAATTGTTTTGAATTATTACTTTAGTTTTATTAGGTAATTTGATATTTAAGTAGCTGAGATTAGTTTTAATTAAATAAATATGGCCCAAAATATGGATTCCACCTCTTCCAATATTAAAGAACCTATAAAGAGGCTTAGGTTTACAGCAGATGAC